TTACTAGGATCCTGTATGCGCGTTTCCGTGAGACGCAGCATACATCGATGGCACGAGATTCTAAAAGTCCTAGCTAATGATGCCTGTTGCCCTATTTGACACAATGTTCCGTACATTAAAGCTCCAATATGTAGTCTAGAACGGGGTTTCAAGAGACCAGGAACGACGTTTCGTGATCTCACTTCGTCTGCATTAGCGGTGCAGTGAGAAAAGGGAGTGTGAGTAGAGTTAGTCGTAGAGATAAGAGAGACATTAGGGGGTGTAGGAAGGATTTGATTTTGACCAATTTGGTCTCGCGTGCTGGTACGGGTATGAGGGCGGTGTTCTGTTCCCGGCTGCCCACACCCTGGAAGGTTGTTTCTTGAGGGACCTGAAAAGGAAGATGGCCCCTAGAAGCAGCATCAGGGCTACCGGATACACGAAGAGTAAATGGAGCCGCTTCTTCATCTTGACATGGTGAGGTCAAATGAGTGATGCTACTCGGATCCTGTATGCGCGTTTCCGAGACGCAGCACACATCGATGGAACGAGATTCTAAAGTCCTAGCTAATGATGCCTGTTGCCCTATTTGACACAATGTCCGTACATTGAATGCTCCAACATGTAGTTTGGAACGGGGTTTAAGGAGACCAGGAACGACGTTTCGCAAACTCGCATCGTTTGCATTAGGTGTGCAATGTAACGAATGAATGTGAGAAGAGTTAGTCGTGGAGATAAGAGAGGTATTAGGGAATGTAGGAAGGATTTGATTTTGACCAATTTGGTCTCGCGTGCTGTTACGGGTATGAGGGCGGTTATCACTTCCCGGCTGCCCACACCGTGGAAGGTTGTTTCTTGACGAACCTGAAAAGGAAGATGGATTAGTGTTGGTGCGTGACCGCAGCTGGACGATCTGGACTTCGCAGATGACCTGGCTCTTCTATCACACACTCAACAACAAATGCAAGAGAAGACGACCAGTGTAGCAGCAGCCTCTGCAGCAGTAGGTCTCAACATACATAAAGGAAAAAGCAAAATTCTCCGATGCAACACGACATGCACCAACCGAATCACGCTTGATGGAGATACCTTGGAGGACGTTAACACCTTCACATATCTTGGCAGCATCATCGACGAGAAAGGTGGATCGGACGCAGATGTGAGGGCGCGGATTGGCAAAGCAAGGGCTGCATTTCTACAGTTGAAAAATATCTGGAACTCCAAACAACTTTCAACCAAAACCAAAATCAGGATTTTCAATACAAATGTCAAGACAGTTCTACTGTATGGAGCGGAAACATGGAGAACTACCAAAGCCATCATCCAGAAGATACAAGTGTTTATTAACAGTTGTCTACGCAAAATACTTCGTATTCGTTGGCCAGACACTATCAGCAACAACGAACTGTGGGAGAGAACAAGTCAGATTCCAATGGAGGAGGAAATCAGGAAGAAGCGGTGGAAGTGGATAGGACATACACTACGAAAAGCACCCAACTGCGTCACTAGACAAGCCCTCACATGGAACCCTCAAGGCAAAAGGAAAAGAGGAAGGCCAAGGAACACACTACGCCGAGAAATAGAGAAAGATATGAGAGGAATGAACAAACATTGGACAGAACTGGAGAGGGAAGCCCAGGACAGAGTTGGTTGGAGAAAACTGGTGGGCGGCCTATGCTCCATTGGGGGTAACAGGCGAAAGTAAGTAAGTAAGTAAGTAAGCGTGACCGCAGAGTCCAAGGGACAACTGCTTGAGGCCGGTCACGCACGGCCTTGTTATGAAATGTTTATTGAGGATTAGCTCCGTTCTTAAAGGCCCTTAGTGGGCACCATAACCGCCGGCGACGGAAATCCGTGAGGTAGGGGAGGTGTGACATTTTTAGGGCCGACCTTTTCTAACCCTTCCTTCCTTGTGAGAAGGCAGCATCGCTGCAGATGCTGGTTGTCCGAGGGAAACACCTTACTGCTGTCACACCCCTCTGCAGTCAGCAGTACGACTTCGCCCTCAGACCTTGGGTAGCTGCTTTTAGTCTCATCGTTCTCCAATCGACCTGCCTGGCATGGTAGGACCTGCAGGAACATGTGTTCCAGCCAGTATAGCTCGGTTGGGTCATCACGATAGGCAAGCCCGACCACCACGTCAAGGTAGCAGCTTCGGTCGGGCTTAGCCATGTCGGTAATTGTCGACTACCTGGTTGGGGTCCGCGAGATGATAAGAATCGATGGTTAGAGACCTTGAATGACATGGCTCAAAATCGTTCGCAATGGCGCCGGTGCATTTATTCTTCGTGTTCTCTCAAATGCTAATCTTCTGGATTCTTCAACCCCTCTAGTTTCGACTTTTTAAACTTGTCTCATTAAATCATACTTCTCGAATAATATCTTCTAATCCTAACCTCTCCGACTACTCCTAATACCTTTACTACCTCTACTACTATTGGATTTGAATTGACAATTACATCTCTGTGCTGATGTGGTATGGCGACTTGAACTGATGTACTTACGTACGAAGTTCTACGTTGCATCTTACTGACTGATCACTAGACACGAACAATTATCCCCATCTTATATAACCACACAGTAACACAAGATTGGTCAGTACATTCACCCTACCATGACGTAGTAAGAACAAGTTGATTACAATGATGATGAATTTATATCAATGTAAAGGAAAGTTACAACTTTAAATAACTTATTATACAAAAATATAACTACAATCAATCAAAACAATAGATTCTGGTCACCATCATATATTCTCATAACTCGAGTACATATGTCTTTCGATGCTTCGAAACATAGACGGATGAGATTAGCAGCCTAATATTAACTAAGAGCATGGATTGATTGGTAATTATTGAACTTCTAGAATAGACCTTCACTCTTCATAGAACTTGACATCCTGTCTGGTCGAAGAACCAAGTCTATTACATAACTCTGTGTATAATAGATGCTAAGTCAAAATAAATCTATGATGATTATAGTAACCGAAAAGTGCGAACTTATTTCTAGGAATTAGATTTTTGACATGTGCATACCAAATTATGACCACACGGACACATTGGGACACTCACAAGCACATAGTTCAGGCGAGGTATCAACCACATACATTATGCTGTCCTCATAGTAGCGAGTGAACTCTCCTGTTACTACCTCAGGTTGCATTCTAATCATTTCATAACTGACGGCTACGATTTTAGCCACGGCAGTTAAGAGCCCGTTTAAAAGTGTTTGTCGTGACTTTGGAACTTGAAATTTATGAGAGTATTAAATAAATCTGGATAACTTTGTAGATCCTTTGTTACGTCATATGGACTCTGACTCTGCTGAGTGTACCAGACGTCATTTCTTTGAAGTATTCCAATAGTCTTACTATGTTTCCACTACCTTATTGACTACAAAGATCATACATAATGGAGTACCTTTACACAAAACTATCTTTGATGACTAACTGGAACAGTGGCACACTTAAGAAATAACCTGTTATTTGACACGTACCCAACCTTGTTAGTCTGATAAGTTGAGTAGAAACTACTGAAAACGCGTGATAGATGGCTACTTGCTCTCGACAACTGTAGTGTATCATAAGTATATCGGCATTTTCTTGGCATTCTCTAGCTTGCGCGGTGCTTGATGTGCCTTGAAATGCTGTTGATATGTTTAGTGCCAAAAGCAATTATTAAGAATGTAGGTTTAACAACCTTGATACAAGTGTGAGAGTACTTATACTTGTAGAACTTTCAGGAAGCAAGATGTCGGATGATAAGAATTAGCATATTACTCAACATCCATCTTCAATGCAATTGTTCACTTGAAGTTAACTATTTTCTTGAATGACCGACAGGAATACGCTCTTTTTTGAAAGAGTGGTTGTGAACGGTCTTGATGGAATCAACTTTTAGCTCATCATTCACTACACGGAGTCAAAATCCAGAGTGGCAGTAGCAATATTTAAAGCTAAGGCCGACGTCATCTTCTTTGATTAGGTTATGGTAGGAAGTGGGGAGGTGTACAGACATCGGGAGAATGTTGGTCCTTATCAATAACTGCTTCCTGAAGGCAAGCATCTGATCCTGATGAACTGCGTCTACGTCCATACGTACAAACGTATCTGACAGAAAAATATTTTAGAGTTGGGTCAAATTAATTCTTTTACATGCCGATATAACATATGTAGCCTGTGGATACTGTACAAGGAATAAATCACAGAAGCCATATTACCTTATGTGCTTCATTCAGGAAGGTTTGAAAATTATCCCCAGTGTTATATATACATATATATATATTTGATGCATTAACACGAAGAAATTACTTTCACTACTTGAAAGATGAAGGTTACCGGACAGAGAGTGGCAGAACTAAAACCAAATTTGCAATTATTTTAATTTAACCGCTTTTCTATAAGCTTGTGAAATGTCGATGTGACGCACCAATCGTTTCATAGACAGTTTGACCTTCAAGTGCTCAGCAATCTCCATTTAATGGATGAGGCCACTAAATCGTTGCCTATGGATGATTTGGATTTAATAAAAGATGCCAAATACAAAAGCTTTGTTGCCCAAATTGATAAATCACTTAGAAGTTTTGATTATTCCAATGAATGGGCTGACCTTATATCTGCTCTGGGACGGCTTATCAAAGTGAGTCATAACATTCATAGTTTAATTTGTCATAAATGTTTTGCACCCAGTATACTCTTGTTCAGTATTCCTTGCTAAAATATTGTTGCTAAGTTAAATCATATTAAATTCTCGAATCATATCAAAAAGTATTGATATTACATGTTCTGTCAGACATTTTAAGGTTTTATAGTTACTTCGCCAAGCATTCAAATGTTTTGATGAGAATGTTCCGAGTTTTATACCCCATCCTTGCGATACCTTACCTAGAGTATTGCAGCTTAGCATCCGCCCATATCTAACTAAGGATGCTGTCACAGTTTAGCGGAGTGATCTTATTTCAGTATTCCGTATCTTGAATTACGATGTGAGTACTAATGTCACATCTTTTCGCTACCTCCGTATCGAATCATTAAGGTCATTGTAACCAGATTTAAGAACTGCGATCAGATTAACTCTGTCTGGGATTCGATTTTTCACACCGAGTGATCAATGACTGGAATGCCTTACTCGAACAAGTGTTATCAGCCCCATCAGTGAACACTAAACGTAAGGCAGGGTTTCCATTAGGAAATAATCTGCAAAGACTAACAAAAGTTGACCGACCTAATATCCTTATTATTGAAACTAACTCGCAAACCACTATGAAAAATGAAAAGATTAAACATATTAGTAATAAAATAATCATCCATTATACAGAAAGCCAGTATTAACTCTTGTAACATAAAGAAATAGTATGAGGCTTCTGGTGAGACGATAACTTATGAATGACCTTTAAGCGATGTAAAAGTTACTGTGAGAATATTCATCTACCTATTAGGGTAGAGTAAATGTAAGGAATAGCACTTATGTTTGAATCTAACTAAGCATTAGGCATTAGAGTTTGGGTCTCTCAGCACGGGCTGATATCAGCTATAATGTCGAAATGTTATTTAATCTTATGGATAGATAAATTCTGCCCCAGGACCCAACACTTGCTGCCTCAAGCATGGTCGATCAATCAATTACCAGCAACGTAGAACTTCGTACGTACGTACATCAGTTCATGTTACCATACCACACTAACACAGAGATATAATTGTCAATTCAAATCCCATAGTAGTAGAAGTAGTAAAGGTATTAGGAGTAGTCGGAGAGGTTAGGACTAGAAGATATTATTCAGGAAGTAGATTCTAGTGAAATAGACTTAAAAAGATAAAGACAAGGTGACGAAGAATTAAAAAGTTTGGGATTTCAGAGAACACAAAGAATGAATGCACCTGCGCCATTGCAAACGATTTTGGGACATGTCATTCAGGGTCTCTAACCATCGATTACTAACATTTCGCGGACCCCAACCAGGTAGTCGATACCTACCAACATGGCTCAGTCCACCTGTCAGTGACTTCATGGATTTGTGCCATGTTTTGGTCTAGCCGCCCCTAGCTTTCGTCCAACCTATTCCTACACCGCAAAAGTCGCTTATCGCGGCAGTCGGTTGTTAGGCATACACAACATATGTTCCAACCACCTGAACTGATGGAGTTTCAATATTTCATCTGTTGACCTGCCATCCTTACCTAGTACCCGTTTCCTAACAACAGCATTGATTACTCGGTTGTCCCACGATACTTGACCAATGCTTCGGAGGCACCTATGATCGAAAACAAGTAACCTACGAATATCTTCTTTTCTGACTGGCCATATTTCACAGCCATAAAGTAAGATGGGCAAACTACTGCGCAGTACACTCGTCCTCTAGTCAGCGAACGGATATCTCGTCTGCGCCATAAGTGACGCAGGTTGGCATAGCCAATCGAGCCTTCTGTATCGGAGCTGAGATTTCGTCAGTCACCAGGCCATCGGCACAGATGAGACTCCCAATATAAGTGAAGCGGTCTACACGTTCGACTACTTCACTCCACACCACTAGTTCAGGTGCCGATGAAACCCAGTCTTGAAGCAACATTTTGCATTTCGAGGGGGAGAACCGCATCCCGAATATGCTTGCATTGTCGCTTATGGTAGTCAGAAGACTGCTTTTTGTCAGCGTCCTCACGAAATAGAACTATGTCATCGACACTTCTAACTCAATAAGCAAGCCTCCTGGTAGAAAGTCGACTCCTGAAAATTCAGACGAGGATAAGGTTATATTTAGGCGCATGTCTATGAAAAAATTGAACAAGAATGGGGAGAGTGAGCATCCCTGATGGAAACCACTTGAAGTAAAGAATTTCCGGTGACAATTCGCCATGAGCTCTCACTCGACCAGTGGTGTTCGATTAGAGAGCTTGTATAAGGTTAATGTACTTTTTTGGTACATCTTTCAATGACAGACACAGCCACAGAACCTCACGATCCACTGAGTCAAATGCCGCTTTTATGTTCAGGAACACAACTATTATAGGACGCCTAAATGTGTGTCTGTGTTCCAGGACCTGTAGTAGTGTGAAGATGTGGTCTAAACAGCCACGTCCGGGTCTGACACTGCCTGGTTTTCTCGAGTCTGCTCTTCACGAGCTCTAGTTAGGCGTCTAAGGATACTGGAGGCTAACGATTTCGAAACTATATTAGACTTATTCCCCTGTGATTGTCACAAGGAGACTTTTGTCCTTTCTTAAAGATTGGGACAATCAGTGATTGAGACAAGTCGGATGGGATTACGTCCAGTTCCCGGATTCTACCTAAGATCTCAGTCAACCTAGCTGCTATAACTGGACCACCATCCTTAAATATCTCAGGGGTCAGTCTATCAAGACCTGCAGCTCGTCCTCGTTTCAGATTTCCTAACGCTCTCTCAACTTCATTAAGACTAGGGGGACTTACGTCGATTTGCCATTCAGGATGACTGGAGATCGTGGGTAACCGAAGAGTGGCTCGAGGCCGGTTGAATTGATTGCTGAAGTGTTCTGCCCATCGATCCAATCTCCTGGATTGAGGTCGGGCATACGTAACACATGTCCCAGCCACCTTAACTGCTGAAGTTTCAATACATCATCTACTGATCTGCATCGATGTGGTTTAGTAACTTAAACCGACACACATGTGCTAAATCCTACGTTGCTTATCACTGACCGTATTACTTATTCATGAATTACCAGATTTTTTGACATGTTAGTTTTATTATTTTTGAAACCATCAGTGGAAATAAACTTTTCTTACATGTCCCCATACAAAGTCAGCGTGATTATTTCATATTGCGATGAAACTAATTGACACTGGTTTCTTTCTAGTTATTTTTATACCATAAGATATCCAGCTCAGAGAACGAAACACCACCACATGTGAGATACCACTGCCGCAACTCCATGACTAGCAATATCGTATGCAACATCGATTCCCAAGCTGGGATTAAAGTGTGTTTAGAGTAATACAAAGTAGACTGCTGCGGAGTGTGCCCACTATTTAATAAGGAAATGGGCATCTACCCTACCAAACTATCCTAAGCGATATCCGAGTGTTGTCTGGAAATCTAGATACATAATCCGATATCATTTAGACAATTTGAGAAAATTTAGTAAACTGTGAAAATCTAACAGAAAATGAACGCAAAAGTTATGTCTAATTTCTAGATAAGCAAACTATGCTAAACGAACTGGTATGGATATTTCTATTCAGTTTCATTTTAACACTGATTTACTTTGCTCATTTTGGAAACCATGAATCGATCAGTGTTAGACCACCATTAGAAACCTGGAAGCACTGGACAGCCGTTTCGTCCTGGTATGGGACTCCTCAGCAGTGCGCATTCGCGACTCCTGTACCTCGCAGGATTCGAACCCAGGACCTTCGGTATTGTGCGCGAACGCCTAACTATCGGACCACTGAGCCGGCATCTAACGGTGTTAATGTCTAACTTGATCACATGGTTTCAATAATGTGTAACTTAACAATCTTCACAACCCTGTAATGTGATTTACTTTGGTTTTATATTTTATTTTTTTTAAAAATCGCTACTTAGATCATTCAATCCAATACAAAATGTGGTTATATTCCACGACATTTTATCATTGGTAAACGTCTTGCTCAATGTTTACATCCTGCTTTACCGGCTGGTGTACATTGTAAAGTGTTGGAATGTTACGATGTGATATTTCGTACTATTGGCTCTGAACGTGTTGCCTACGATTTGCCTATTTATGGTCCAGGTTTATTTGCACTACTGGAACCATCGGCTATGACAGTGAAATCACCATTGTTTGATATTTATGAAGAACATTTACTTCCTCTTGGCAAATTACTTCATCCTTCATTTTTAGGATTATTAAAGGTAATTATTTCATGAGTTATTGATCAGGTTTGTTTGTGTGAATTCAAAGTCATTTGTTTTTTTACTCGTACTTAATTACGCTTGCTACCCCCTATGGAGCATAGGCCACCGACCAGTTTTCTCCAAACAACTTTGTCTCGGGCTTCCCTTTCCAGTTCTTTCCAATTGTTTGTTCATTCTTCTCATATCTTTCTTTATTTCTCGACATATTGTGTTCTCTGGACTTTCTATTTTCCTTTTTCCTTGAGGGTTCCAATGGAGGGCTTGTCTTGTGAGGCAGTGGGTGCTTTCTGCAGTGTATGTCCTATTCACTTACATGGCTTCTTCTTGATTCCCTCCTCTTCTGGAATCTGGTTTGTCTTATCCCACCACAGTAGGTTGTTGTTGATGGTGTCTGGTCAGCGGATCTGAAGTATTTTGCGTAGACAACTGTTCATAAATACTTGTATCTTGTGAATGATGGCTTTTGTAGTTCTCCAAGTTCCCACTCCATACAGTAGAACTGTCTTGATATTTGTATTGAAAATTCTGATCTTGATGTTGATTGATATTTGTTTAGAGTTCCGAATATTTTTCAATTGTAGAAATGTAGCTCTTGCTTTGCCGCATCCGCTCCCTCACATTTTCATTGGATCCACCTTGATTGTCGATTTTCTCTTCAACTAGTTTCGTGTATTCCATTTTTTAAGTAAATATGATTCGTAAGCTTTTATTCTCAATTAGATAAGTATTGATTTTCACTCTACTGTTATTTGAATATCATCGTTTCGCATAGCTAAAGAGAAAATATGTTGTTAGCCTAAGGTCAGTATCATACATCTAATGTGTCCTGACGTACCAAATTTATTTCATATATTACTATAGTGTAGAGCTTCATCTAGGCCAACATACTGTTGATTCGTTGACGATAAAATGAGAAATAACTGTCTAGCACTATATTTAGAAATATTCATTGTGTTATGACTTGAGACACTAATCGATATCACGTGTTGAATACACCTATTAAGATTAGTGATTTCAATATTTTTCTTATCTGGCTTCTATCATTTTTTTTTGGTAGCCCAGTGTCCTACAGTTAACTAGTTTTACTGTTCAACGTGCAAAGTGACTATGAGTCAATACAAGTTGAATTTCTATCAGTCCACCGCCATCCTCAAGTTCTTCTTTACACCGTTTCTTGAGTACTAAAAGAAGTCAGTTATCAGCTTCGGTTGTTATCTATTTCGAATATAGGTTTATACAAACACCCAGAACTATATGACACCATAAATCAATAAGTTACAATTGTACATGAACAATCGAAAAGGGATTATGAGTAGCGGAAGCTCTAACTAATTGATTGGCAGTAAACTAAGCAATAATAACTCGTATTGTAATAGTGAATGTGTTAAACGAAAACTTACAGTAAACGGAGAATAGAGACTAATTCGTTTATTTAGTAATTATCCCATATATATATATATATATATATATATATATATATATATATATATATATATATATATAATGCGCCTCCATTCTATAATGGGTTTGCCCTTAAATACCCTGGTACGACAGAAAGTTTGGAGGGTCTGCCGTCTTCTAAATGCTCTCATATAGCTACTCATGTGTAGCCATTGTCAGGGTCTCGTTCTCACTCCCTTCTAGAGGCACAGGTATTGTTTTAAAAACTGAAAGAATAAAAGGCGAGTGTCCGGCTGTTTAACAGGGTTGAAAGATACGATGGTTCCACCTTAGGAAGTTTAAAACTCCTGATTCCAATACAGTAAGGCAAATGGACCCCGGGGCTCCTAAGTAAACGATTAGCTTATGAACCTCGATCATAGAACCGCATATCCTAACGTTGCTCCACTGGATTGTGGATTATACCTTTGGGTCAAAGGCTCAGATGTTTCGCTAAGAAAACCACTTGATTCGATTTGGACAATAAGGCATTATCCTAACCCATTCACAAATTCATTAATTTTATGTAGCGCATTAGTTTTTGGGTGCCCCCCTTTGTGTTTAACTAAATAAATAAATGTTTGATAATCCACAAAATAGTTCTGAAAGTTTCTTCAATCTTCTTTTTGTTATATAATGTGTATGATATCGAATAAAGACTGTTTGATTGGAAGCAACATTATGTGTTCCAGTCCCATAGAATGGAATTTCATTACACCATTTCTCTCTTAATTACTATCCCTAACTCGGTTATCGGGCTTAATTTGAATGTTTCTTTAAGGTCTTATCATGCCGGGCAGGTTGGAGAAGTTTCAAGATTGAAGGTGAAGTTGTACTGCTAATTTTATCAGATAATCAGCCTCGATAGGAATGCTGCTCAGCATGTCTTTGAATCAACTAACACAACCATTAACAACAAGGTGATAAACTCAAAATCACTAAAATCTACTGATATACAACTCAAAGAATGAAATTGGAAAACAACAAGACCTAATGCTTTACACTAATTTGTGGTATCTCGAGCCTATAGGAAGACAGTTTACTTATCAAAAGTCAGATTATATTGACATGATAGAAATCGCCGAAAATTGTATCATGGATGACATTCTTAAATTTGTTAGTGTCAACACAATTTCACAACACAACAATCTTTAATTATTGAAGTTTGTTTTTTTTCTCGAAAAATTAGTTGTAAGTGATTTTTCGGTCTGCTAGAGTGATGAGGCCTTCCTTGAACAAAATCAATCAATCAATCAATCAAATTCATCACGTGTTTGTCTACGTTCTCAGCACGCCTTACATTGAAATATTAATATTGTCAACTATATGGAATATGTTGTTTGTTTTCTAGGGTTTACTACCAGGTTTGGAACCGGGCGCAGAATTCTCTGAACGTGGTAATCGAATGTTAGAAATGTTCAGTTTCTCTGTTGGACCAGCATTCTTTTATACATGTCTATGGAAGGTATTATATACAATTTTATTATTGTTATGAAATGATACACTACACTAAAATAATTATAAATTTCATTTTAATCAATAATTCCGTTGAAGATACTGACAAAAAATCGAGTGATTACGAATATGCTGATCCCCTAATGGTTCCACTTAGAAAATAACGATGATAAGAAAGATCAATACTGTTTGTAGCAATTTTTACTGACTGATAAGGAGTTGAAAATATATGAGCTAGATTGAAACTATAGACATTTCTATCGAAGTGAGCTTTTGTTGATACCCGTGATTCAGTAGTTAAATTACAGGTATTCAAAACATTGAGTCATTTTACAGAAAACACTCAAGTACTGGATTTTGTTTAAATTCCCTTGTCGTTAATCCTTAGCTTTGACACTGTGTATCAACAAACTATAGATCTATAAGCCTCGCAACTAGTGAATGTCTATTGAATCAGTCATGGAGTTGACTGGGGAAGTTCATTCTATAATGGGGTTTTGTTTTTTCAACTTGGTGCTCTAATCAATGGAACTGTTCAATTCATAGGGATATAGTCAGCTACAACGTAGAACATTTGTGCGTATGATGTACGTATGTTCCATCAGTTCAGGTTGCAATACCACACTAGTACAGAAACGCAATTGTCGAATCAAATCCCACAGTGGTAGTTGTAGTAGACAGATTAGCGGTAATCCCAGAAGAATGATTTTTAAAGAAATGAGAGGGAGAAATAGAAAGAAAACGGTCTTGAGGAATTCAAAGGATAAGAATTTGAAAGAACGCAAGGAGCGGGTGGACGTGCGCCGTTGCAAACGATTTTGAGCCATGTCGTTCAAAGTCTCTAACCATCGGTGACTTTCGTCTCGCGGACCCCAACCAGGTAGTCCACACTTACTGACTTGACTCAGTCCACTTGTCAGTGACTTCATGGATTTGTGCCACGTTTTGGTTTGGCCGCCTCTAGCTTCCTTTCAGCCTACTGCTACATCAGATAACTTCGCTTGTTAATGAAGTCGATACAATCGATGGAATCTAGTTAGCGCATGAAAATAAACACTGTGATATGCGGTCAGTGTAGAAATTAGCTTCACTCTGAAGACTAGTATAAGTGCAAGAAAAAAGGATATTCAAGGGTTTATTTACAAACTTGATCGTTTAAGAAGCTTCCTTAACTATGCTCAAATTGGTTTTGAAAAAAAAATCAACAATTACGCAATCAGAATATCACACATGATCTGTCGCTTTTCTCAGGAACTTCTTCGAAATTTTCAGTTGAACGGTAATTCATCGAAATAATTTCAACACTTTCGTAGATTTTGAAAACGTTTTTGATGAGTTTGTTAAGGCTTTCAGCAAGTCAGACCGCTAATAATATTATTCAGGTGGTCCCATAATATACATTACTTACTTACTTGATAGTTAGTGTCCGTCATTGTTCTGCGCTCGACCATAGCTGCTACCTTGACGTGGTGGTCAGGCTTGCCAATCGTGATTACCCGAATGAGCTATATTGGCTGGAACATATGTTCCTTAGGGTTCTATTATGCCTGGCAAGTCGATTGGAGAATGGTAAAACTAACACCAGCAACGCAAGGTTTGGGAGTGAAGTCGTACTGTTGACTGCAGAGGGGAGTGACAGCAGTTAGATGTTTCTCTCAGACAGTCCGCATCTGCAGCAATGCCGCCTTCTTAAAAAGAAACAAGGGGTTAGAAAAGGTCGACCCTAACAAATGTCTCACTTCAATTTACCTCATAGATCTCCGTCTCCGGGAGTAAGGCCATTTGAAGAACGGAGCTAACACTTCAAAATCTTCGCATAAAAAGGCCTTGCTTGACCGATCCCAAGCAGTCGTCCCTTAGTTAGATGGTCTCTGATCAACTGATCCTCAGTATCTTGCGTAGACATTTGTATCTTCTGCACGATAGCCTTCTTGGTTCTCCAAGTTCCCACCTACATACAATAGAACTGTTTGACTTTAGATATTTGTTAATAGCTGATAATTTTACAAATTTTTTCAAACGAGATTCTCTTTTTATTCATATCTATCCTTTGTGTTTGTTTTATTTTAAAGCTTTTTATTCGATGCTCATCTATTCGACAATATGGAATTTCATTTATACTCAATCATTTAAACAAACGTAAACCATTAGATTCACAAAATTATATTTATGGTTTAGATAAAAATATTCTAGTAAGTTTAAAGGCAAGATAAGTTTTCTATTTATTCTACTGTTGTTTATATACTACTCTTAAGGACCTTAGATCTTCAGAACTCACTTGGAAAATATCCTGATTTCGGACTTTTTGTGTTTTCGCGCATAGGTTGCTCAGTTGACCTTGAGATTACATTTCCCACCCGGGAAATCCTTGACTGTTATTGGTTGATGGATTATTTATTAGTACGCTATTTTTGTGGCTCTCCCAAGAACGTTTCTATCTTGTATAGATAAATTCGATTGGTGTGCTTGTCAACCTCGTATTTTCTGGATGCTTCTGGAATACACTTTCTACGCCTTATTCAGACCTCTTGATATAGTTAGCTGGGCCTAGGACAGTTGGATTAGAATAGCCTATCATTTCACTGTATCATTTGTCTATGCTGTCATTTACCGAGTAAGGTGAACTCGTCATAGCATTCAAGCTTATCAATTGACGAGCATATCAGATTAATTTCAACTAGATAACGTATTGAATGCTGGATTTCATTGGATGATGTTTTTCAATAGACTGCCGACAAATGTCGATCTATAGTCTTAACAGGTATCGAATTAAAAATCATTTTAGCTTCACTGTATACATGCCAACTGAAACAATTTCTCCAATATCATCAGTGTTACCTGTTACTGTTTGTTAATTCACAAATTCACATGATATTAGCATTACAGAAGACTAGATTGAAAAGCTAAGAAATTATGTTAGATTACAATTCAGAGATTCAGTAATAAATTCATTTTAAGCATTCACTTGTTTGTCGTATTGGTTTATTTCGTACACTCTGTTAGTCAGTCAGCTACAATGTAGAAATTAGTATGTACGTATGTGGTGGCCTGTGTATCACTAGTTTCGTGACGGTCAGTATCCAATGTGTTCCTAGACTTCGTATTTTGCTTGTCCGGGCAATCATTACTAAGTAGAGCCTGACGGTTATAAATCAAAAGTCAAACACGAGGGGTTGAATACGTTTATTTTTGACACACCACAAAATGGACCAGCCGACCACAAAGTATCAGATCAGTCAGTAAGCTACAGAGTAGAAGTTGGTACGTATGTACGTAAGTTGTCATACCATATTAGCATAGAGAGATGGAATTGTCAATTCAAATTCCATAGTAGTAGAGGTAGTAGAAGTATTAGCGGTAATACAAAAGATTAGGGTTCGAATAAATAAATTTAAGAAGAGGAAGATAAATGCGATGAGGAATTCAGAAGATTCGAATGTCAATGAAGACAAATAATGGATGCATCTGCGCCATCGCAAATGATTTTGAGCCATGTCATTCAAAGTCTCTAACCACCGGTTACTTGTAACATGGCTCAGTCGAGTTGCCAGTGACTTCATGGGTTTGTGCCATGTTTTGGTTTGGTTACCCCTAGCTTTCTTCCAGCCTACCCCTAGACAACATCGCTTGTCGAGGTAGAACGCCTGATTGGGCTCTGCGAGACAGTCCTACAGTATACTCATAGATTTGTATACATTTATATATGTATATATAAATAATTATATTTATCCTTTTTTAGATAGAAAGTTTATGTTGTCTATTCGGTGACAATGTACTCCTGGTACAACGTGATGCTCTTGATTTCGTTCTACTAGCATTACCAATACATTTTTATTCGACAACAACAACAACAACAGCGCCTAATCCATTTCAATCTATGACTAATCAATTTGTATTAACTATGAAAGATTTTTCAATGTTATGCACAGCTTCATTGTCAATTTTATTACGTCGTGATGCCTCTTTAAATCGTCGTTTATTTACTTGGCTTAAAGGTAGTCAATCCATTGAAGGAATGATTATCAATGGGTTAAGTAATCATCATGTAGGTATCAATGAATCAATGACATGGGCAGATATCATTATAAATCAAGAAGAGAATAAACATTTATTGGTAAGTTATATATGATATAGATGGGATGTAGGTATGTAAATATATTTTTTGAAATCGTGAATCAATCATCGTTAGACCACTATTAGAAACTTGAAAGCACTAGATTGCCGTTTCGTCCCTGTTTGGGACTCCACAGCAGTGCACATCCCCGATTCCTGTTACTCGCAGAATCGAGTCCAGGAGCTTATGTCGTGCGCGTGAATGCTTAACTTCTGGACGACTAAGCCAACATCCAACGGTGGATGCTCACTGCCGATGAGTCTCATAATACCTGGAAGAACTGGCCGCCTATTGTTTCCAGGCTTCTAATAGTGGTCTAATGATGATTTATTCATGATTTCGATGCAAAACAACAATCTGCAGGGTAATTATAATCTCTTGTAATGACGTTTGCATCGAAATTTAGGGTAGACTCATGTACAAATGCATCAATAATAATACCATTCACGTTAGCCGAAATGTCAAATGCTCTGTAGATACATCTCGGAAGTAGACCGTGATCCAGAGTATTGACTGGTATCCATATTGATCCAGGTAAACTGCTCAAGACACTGTCTCACCTGGTTGGTAAGAAACTTAGGGCATATATATATATATATATATATATATATATATATATATATATATATATATATATATATATATATATATAAGAGAGCTACCACGTTTAGTTTCCCGATTATAGCGATAGAGCGCTGGTAGTTCAATCCTACCGACGTCCGAATTTAAATATTCCAATACGACCCAAATACTATTCCCAAATCTCCTATATATCAAAACGCAACACCGTTGGATGGAGTTGTTTATTGGGCCGAGTACAGAAGAGAGGCAGGCGAGAGGAACGGAATCATGAAGTTTTACAGATAGTGCGTATTTATACATTTAGGTCGAATAGGAAAGGGCATCAAAGTCTGTGACATTGACAGTTTAGGACGACCAATAGGAAAGAACATTTGTAATGACATTGACAGTCCGGATGACCAATAAGAGACAACATTGAAGTATTTGACTTTGGCAGTTAAAACGACCATAATTTTAACCAACAGAAATTGACCAGTAGGATTATACTTCCAAAAATAGTACTCTTAGGATATTTGGTGAATATCCTAACAATCTGTGTGCCGAAAAGATTGGTGCTCCTATCTAAGAGACTAAAAAAGTTCATTCCTGAACTCGGCAAGCGTGCATACCAACTGTTCAGCTCCCAAATATGAGTCGAACGGTAAACAAGATTGGTCACTAGAACTTCTGATGCTTTTTATTAAGGTAAATACATTGACATGAACTATCCTAAATGTCAGTCACTTTCAGTATCTGTATTGCCTCATTGACATTAAGTGGGATTTTATCGGGTACATTATAGATAATCACTTTATATTTGTAAAGATTATTCGGCTAGTAGTAACTTCACTAACAATGAAATCAATAACAGCTACTGCTTTAATAATGTATTCAATGTCTTATCATATCGAGAACACCATGTCCTTGGAAAAAAAGTAGCTTATAGGATGACGGAATGATGAGGAATTCGCTAACGACTCTCTGTTGTAGAACACTTTCCACTTCAGCCAATAGTCAGTCAGTCAGTCAGTTGCAACATAGAACTTCGTACGTATGTACATAAGTTCAGTTTGTCATACCACATTAGCACAGAGACGCGAATGTCAAATCAAATCCCATAGTGATATAGATAGTAGAGGTATTTATGGTAATGAAGAAGATTAGGGTTTGAAGATATTATTCAAGAAGTATAATTCAGTGAGATAAGGTTAGAAAGGCAAAGGTTGAGGTGCTGACGAATTCAGAAGGTTAGAATTAAAAAGCACACAAAGAGTGGATGCACCTGTACCATTGCAAAAGATTTTGAACCATGTCGTTCGTATAAGTTATCTAACCATTGGTGACTTTCGTCTCGAGGACCCCAACCAGGTAGCCAACATCTACCAACATGACTCAGTTCACTTATCAGTGAATTCGTGGATTTCTGCCATGTTTTGTTCTGGCCTCCCCTAGCTTTCTCCCAACCTACTCCTACACCACAAAACACAGTTTGTCGCGGCAGTCGGTGGTTAGGCATACGTAACACATGTCCCAACCACCTCAACTGGTGAAGTTTCACCACTTCATCTATTGATCTGCCATCCCCACCTAGTACTCGTTTCCTAACGACAGCATTGTTTACTCGGTTGTCCGACGATATACGAGCAATGCTTCTCAAACATCTATGATCGAACACTAGTAACCTACGAACATCTCTTAACGGCCATGTTTCGCATCCATATAGGAGAACGGAGCGAACTGCTGCGCAGCCAATAGATTCGAAGCCAATGTGCAGCATATGTCGCATAAGTTCAATCATAACATATTGTCCATGAAAACGAAGTCAATACACAGTGAAGTAAATGTAATCATAACTGATTTGTTTTGTTTTAGACGTCAAATGAAAATACCAGTCAATGTTATTTTAAATTTTATTCACAAACAATTCTTATCGAATCTGTTCGTTGTGTTATTCACAAGCCTACATGTTTACCTATTTCATTATGTCAATTCAATGAGAATCAGTTAAATGTTTCTAGTAAATCTACCTTTGGATCAGATTTATCTGCTTTAGGTAAATTTTTTTTTGCTTTTTTATTTCTTTTACTGTTTTTTACTTTTTGTATGAAAGAAATGATTCTTGAGAAAATGAAACTCCGCCTGTAGATCCTTCGGGCCTACTGCCGATCGCAAGCCCAGTTAAAGGAGGCGGGTTGGGTATGGGGTTGGCGACCTCATCCCACCAAAAAACTAACTGGCCCAAAAACACGCTAACCAGAAAATATATACTACTACTACTACTACCACCTGTTATTGGTAAAGGTGATGATACTAAAGGTCGCAGCACAGAATAAAACAGGAATACTCCTGGTTTTTAAGTTGAACTATGTTTTCTATGGTTTCAAACTAGTACACAGCTTCATGTATACAATATAGTACCATTCCTGTTACGCATGCATGTAAACACGTCATTTAATATACTTGAACTATTACGAGTATACCTTAGTCAGAAAACGAGAGCAAGGATCGAGGATCCGGTCATACGACATGCTCCTCTAATCCGAGTGTCCCAAACCGCCATTGAGTTGACCAGTAAGTATGGATCAGTAGAATTCGAATTACAAACGATTATCTTCATAATCTCTATCTTTCTCCTTCTAAATTTATCTTACTGAATTATACTTCTCGAATAATATCTCATCCTAACCTCTCCGATTACTTCTAATACCTTTACTACCTCTTCTACTATTGGGTTTGAATTGACAATTATATCTCTGTGCTGATGTGGTATGGCGACATGAACTGATGTACTTACATACGGAGTTCTACGTTGCAACTGACTGACTGACTGATCTTAGGATATTGGATGAATAATATCCTAACAATTCTCATACAGTTTCAGTGTCAGCATACACTGCTACATATTTAAACTGTTTGAAAGATACGTGTTACAGGTGATTAAAAACCATCACCAAGGTCATATAGGATGAGGACGAGATACCACACCTACCTATCAGTCTACATTTCACGCTAACTGTAACGAAAGAAAATTAAGGTGAAAATCTTACCTGCTTACACCTGTTACCCCTAATCGAGTATATGCCGCCGACCAGCATTCTCCAACCTACTCTGTCCTGCGCTTTCCCTTTCTAGTTCTGTCTGATCGCTGTTCATTCTTTTCATGTCTGTTTCCAATTCTCGGCTTGATGTGTTCGTTAGTTCTACTCTTTTCCCTTGACCATGAGGGTTTCAAGTGAGAGCTTACCTTGTGAGGCAGTTAGGTACTTTCCTCAGTGTATGTCGTATCCACTCTCAGCACTTCGTCTTGATTTCCTCCCCCTCTGGAATCTGGTTTGTCCTCTCCCACAGTAGGTTGTTACTGATGGTGTCTGTCCTCAATATCTTGTGTTGATAACTGTTAATAAACACTTGTATCTTGTGAATGGTGACTTTCTTGTTTATCCAACTCTCAGGACAGAGTTTAAATGATTTGAATAATTTTTTTCTGGTTAGCGTTTTTCCAGCGAGTTAGATTTCTACGGGATGGGATCGCTAACTCCATGCCCAACTTCGGACTGGCAGTAGCTTCAGAAGTGCGCCAGGCTGATTGATTTACGGTGAAAAGCAAGAAAGTTGAAATATTCTAATCAATAATAGTGGTAAACCCCAGAATGCTGAATATTGTTCTAAAGAAAAATAATCAAATTATTTAATGTAAATCGTGGATTAAGCTCAATTGAAGATTGAACGAATCAAAGTCAAAGTAGACTGAATAATTAAATTTCCATTCTGAAATTGTTAAACGTGAACCTATTTTTTAAAATAAATCTGTGTTTTGCAGTCGATATTTGTCACTTGAAATATTGCTGAAAACCAGGGAGTGATTAGATAACTGTCGCATTCTTCTTATATCAGATTCGTCCGCCAGTTACATGCCCATCATCACCCTAAGAAGAAGCATGCGGAAATCAGGGACCACCCTCATGTATCGTGCAATGAATGTTTAACCATCAGAACTACATGGTTTATGCTCGTCGATAGTCACCAAGGTCCTGCGTTAAATCGTTTTTACGTTGGTTAAGGCTCGAACTGTTGATGAATCTATCCTTGGATTTTCAATGTTGTGTGTGTAACCCAAGGACAATCAGTTTAGAATGAATTCTACTATTTACAAATCGTTTTTTTTTACTTTGCATAAATCTACCCATCATCATCATTATAATGGGTCAAATTTCCATTTATTTTTTTCTATTTTCAAGTTACAGAACGAAGTATTTCAGAGCGTCCATTTCGTGTATTAGTTGGTCTAACTGAACAACCTGATATAGCGCTTGGTTTATTAGACAATCTTTTATTAGATATTATGTGGTATACTTATGAAGTTTATTTAAAATTACGTTGGCAAACTACAAATTCAATTAGGCGTCAAAAATCCTCGTCATCCTCCTCCTCATCATCATCACATCGTGATTCCATTCTAACCATATCAGATTTAGTGAATCGACCAAGTTTAAATGAGAAACAATTACCAATGAATATGATGAATTTAATTAAAGATTATATTTTAATTCGTGACAGTGCAAAACCAACATCGAATTTACGTAAGTTTTTCTATTTTTTTTTTTTAATTTTCATCTATCTATTCGTGTTATATCTGCGGATCGTGAGAGTTAGTGATTTTAACGTTTTTTACACATTGAACTCATCAATCAATCAATCATTGCTAGACCAGGATTAGATACCTAGAAGCAGTGACAGACGGCCTTTTCGTCCTGGTATGGGTCTTATCAGCTGTGCGCATTTATGACTCCTTCACCTTGCAGGATTCGAACTTAGGACCTTCAGTTTTGCGCGCTACCTTGACGTGGTGGTCGGGCTTGACTATCGTGATGACCCAACTGAGCTATATTGGCTGGAACATATGTTCCTGCAGGTCCTACCATGCCAGGCTGGTCGATTGGAGAACGATGAGACTAAAAGCAGCTACCCAAGGTCTGAGGGCGAAGTCGTACTGCTGACTGCAGAGGGGTGTGACAGCAGTAAGGTGTTTCCCTCAGACAACCAGCATCTGCAACAATGCTGCCTTCTCACAAGGAAGGAAGGGTTAGAAAAGGTCGGCCCTAAAAATGTCACACCTCCCCTACCTCACGGATTTCTATCTCCGGCGGTAAGGGTTTTCACTAAGGGCTTTCAAGAGCGGAGCTAATCCTCAAAAAACTTGTCATAAAAAGGCCGTGCGTGACCGGCCTCAAGCAGTTGTACATTGGACTTTGCGGTCACGCTCCCAGGTGTCTAAGACCAACACTAATCTTCCTTCCTTTTGAGGTTCCTCAAGAAACAACCTTCCACGGTGTGCGTAGCCCGGAAGTGACCAGCGCCCTCATACTCGTAACAGCACGCGCGAACATCTAACCTCTTGAGCACTGGTCCGACATCCAACGGTGTTAATGTCTAACTCTGTTTAAACTTTACCTACCAAGGTCGGCAGATGCATAGGGCGAAATGAGGTGTGCTCTTCATGGAACCGACTTTCTAATCCACTTGCTGTTATTACAAAACAAGGTTTCTAGAGGTGCTAGTAGTTTGTGAAAATGATCCTACCGTCATTACCTCATATAGTTAACAGTGCAAATTCGTTCCCCGACTTTAGATTAATCTATCCCACTCTAACCGATATACAGCCACCCTGTTTTCTTATGATAGAATTTCAAAACAATAAGTGTTTCAGATTATGTTATTTGGCTAGGCCTTCTTGATAGGCAAGCCCAGCAGCGGGTCTCAACATACACAAAAGGAAAAGCTAAATTCTCCGATACAACACAACATGCCCCAATCAAATCACACTTGATTGAGATGCCTTGGAGGATGTAAAAACCTTGATATATATAGGCAGCATAGTTGACAAGCAAAGTCAATCTGATGCAGATAGAAAGACACGGATTAGCAAAGTAAGGGCAGTATTTCTACAGTTGGACAACGTCTGGAACTCTAAACAACTGCCAAACAACACCAAAATCAGAATTTTCAATACAAATCTTAAGACAGCTCTACTGTATGGGGCGGAAACTTGGAGAACTACGAAAGCCATCATCAAGAAGATACAAGTGTTCATTAACAGCTTTATATGCAAAATACTTCGTATTCGTTGGCCAGACATCATCAACAACAATCTACTGTGGGAGAGAACAAACCAGATTCCAATCGAGGAAGTAATCAGGAAGAAGCGGTGGAAGTGGATAGGACACACAATACGAAAAGCACCTAACTGCGTCACGAGGCAAGCCCTCACTTGAAGTTTTCAAGGAAAACAGAAAATAGGAGGGCCGATAACCACATTACGCTGAGAAATGGATAAAGACATGAGCAGAATGAACAATGGATTGAAGAGAGCTAGAAAGGGAAGGCGCAGGACAGAGTCCGTTGGAGAACGCTGGTCAGCGGCGACCTATGCTCCACTGGGGGTGACAGGCGTAAGTAAGTAATTAGGTTTTCAATTCAGTTACCACATCTATTAAGGATCAAGTCATCTGTCGGTACAATTAATCAAATAAACTAATTCACCTGTCTACCCTATCACAAATAAATTACTCACTGAAATTTACTTCATTTCACATTTTGTTTTGTGTTTTACAGGAATCGATAATCCAAGTAAAACTTCTTCATTGAATTCAGATCATAATGGAATGACAATTACCAGTAATCATTTAATTGATAAAGAAGATTCCACTGTTTCAATCGATCCCAATATTAAGAAGATGTCAACAGTTCATTCTACTACTACAACTGCTACAACCACTGCTGCCACTGCCACTACTACTAATAATGTTGTTGATGAATTTTTGCGTACAGCTCATTTATTTTTTAGTAATATAAATAGTGAATTTTTATGGAGATTTATTGAAAATCAATTCACTGAATTATTGAATATAGGATCATCATCATCATTATCGTGTAACGGAACAATTGACAATTCAACAACAACAGCAACAGTAGCAGTACAATCTGATCGACGGCGACGACGACGGATGACAATGAGAACTTCATCCATGGAATATAACAATAACAGTAACAGTAACAATACTAATGATTGGCATCAATCTCCATTAAATTTATCTTTAATTCAATGGTGTTGTGTGATTGATTTTTTCTTAAATTGTTTCCCTATGGATATGTTATATTCAAATGTTTGTGGTTGTTATTTGCCTCGTTTACTTATTCATTTAATTGATTGTTTAGTGAAAAAACTTCGAATTGATTGTGAAGTACATTATACTACTACTACTGCTACTCCTACGACGACGAATTCATGTTTACCTGTATCGAATGAAGAGAATTTTTCAAAATATCAATTAACACCGTCTGAATGGGCTAGTTTAATTGGTTGTTTAGACGCGATTGTACATCATATACGTGAGGTAGGGTTTTATTTAATGATTCATTGTTGTAGGACAAATTTTATTGATTATTAATCTGAACCATTTGATCTTGTGTGCTGTTACAGGTAATGAGGGCGGTTGTCACTACTCGACGACTGTCCACATCGTGGAAGGGAATAATCTAACTGTTGTGATTGTTGTGGTGGTGGTCAGTGTCTGACATGCTTGAATGCTATGACGAGTTCACTTTACTCGGTAAACGAGCGTGAAGACAAATGATCCTGTGACACGATAGGCTATTCTAATCCGATTGTCCTAAGCCCTGCTAACTAGATCATGAAATCTTTATTAGACGTAGAAAGTGTGTTCTACAAGCATCCAGAAAATATGAGGTCGACAAGCACACAAACCGAGTTTATTTATACATGATAGAAACGTCATTGGGAGAGCCACAAAAATAACGTACTAAAATAATACATCAACTAATGACGGTCAAGGATTTTCCGAATGTGAAATGTAAACTGTAGGTCATTTGGTACGAAAACATGGAAATTCAAAATTTCAGAGGTAGTAGAAGTATTAGCAAGGTTCGAGGATATTATTCAAGAAGTATATTTTAGTGAGATAGCTTTAGAAAGATAGAGGTGATAAGGAATTCCTAGGTTAGGATTTGAGAGAACACAGTGTGGACGCACCTGCGCCATTGCAAACGATTTTGAGCCCTATCATTCAAGGTCTCTAACCATTGGTGACTTTCGTCTCGCGGACCCCAACCACGTAGCCTACATCTACCGACATGACTCAGTCCACTTGTCGGTGCCATGTTTTGGTTTGGCCATTCTTAGCTTTCATCCAACCTTCTCCTATACCACAAGACATAGCTCGTCAAGGCAGTCGGTAGTTGGGCATTCGTAACACATCTCCCAACCAGCTCAACTGATGAAGTTTCACCACTTCATCTATTGATCTGCCATCCTTACCTAGCAGCAGCATTGCTTACTCGGTTTTCCCAGGATATACGAGCAATGCTTTGGAGACACCGATGATCGAAGACTAGGAACCTACAAATGTCCTTCTACTCTTAACGGCCATGTTACGCAACCACATAGGAGAACGGAGCGAACTACTGCACTTGTCCTTTAGTCAGCAAACGGATATCACATCTACGCCATAGATGACACAAGTTGGCCAAAGCCAATCGAGCTTTCTGTATTCGTGCTGAGATTTCGTCGCATGGATACCAGAAGGTTCGATATCATTCTTTCTATTGATTAACTACGGACAGACTAATAAAATTATTCCAATGTTGTTCTTTCATATCATCATCTCATCTCATCTCATTTAAATGTTTACATGTTCATTTCCATTTGGTTTATATTTTTTTTGTGAACAGTATGCTGTGACAATATTCGATCAGTTATCAAGTTCAGTGAATTGTGCACATCCAATAGAATCATTGACATCAATAACCAATCAGAATAATAGTAGTTGTGATGCTGACGCAGGTAATCAAGGTGTCGCATTCACCGGTTGTGATGTTGCTTCTTCTTCTTCTACCAGTGGAAATAATCAAATTTCTGAAGAATTAACAATGATTGCTAAAGCAGTTGGTCAATTTCGACAATTTCTTGGCATATTCTGTATTCATGTATTGAATTTTTCACCAGTGAAAGTGAGTATTTTTGTTTGTTTTTCTTATTCTGTAAACTAAAAACTTTATTGATTTTTTCATTCATGATTATTATTGTTGATTTGCATTACGGGGTTGTGAAGATTGTTAAGTTACACATTTTTGAAACCATGAATCGATCAATGTTAGATCACCATTAGAAACCTTGAAGAAGCACTGGACGGCCGTTTCGTCCTGGTATGGGACACATCAGTGGCAGTGTGTATCCACGACTCCTGCACCACGCAGGATTTGAACCTAAGACCTTCGGTATTGTGCGCGAACGCCTAACCATCGGACCACTGAGGAGTCCCATACCAGGACGAAACGGCCGTCCAGTGCTTCTTCAAGGTTTCTAATGGTGATCTAACATTGATCGATTCATGGTTTCAAAAATGTGTAACTTAACAATCTTCACAACCACGTAATGCAAATTACCTGTGCTCACTAGTGACTAGCTTCGTGAGGAGTCTTCTTCGAGTTCTAGTGGGAAGACGTCACCAGTGAAGTTCAACCTGTTCGGGTGTAGACAGTGTCTACCGAAGACTGTGTATGAGGTTGCGCAACTCCGTGAATTTGATCAAGTTAGACATTAACACTATTATTGTTGATGTTGTGGATGTTAGATCGCCAGAACTCACTTGGGAAGAGTCCTAATTTTGGATTTCTGTGTTTTCGAGCATGGGCTGACCAGTTGACCTTGAGATTACCTTTCCTACTCGGAAAATCCTTGACTGTCATTGGTTGATGGATTATTTATTAGTACGCTATTTTTATGGCTCTTCCAAGAACGTTTTTATCATTTATAAATAAACTCGATTTGTGCGCTTGTTAACATCGTATTTTCTGGATGCTTGTAGAATACACTTTCTACGTCTTATCAAGACTTCTTGATATAGTTAATCGAGCCGAGGACAGCCGGATAAAAATAGCCTATCGTGTCACTGTATCATTTGCCTATGCTCTCGTTTACCGAGTAAAGTGAACTCGTAACAGCATTCAAGTCTATCAACCAACTAGTGACGAGCATAACGGTTAATGATGAGTAAGAAGCGGCAATGATTTATATTTTGGTCGAAGAAAACTGCACATAAATTAATTTTTTAATGATTCCAATTGACATGTCTGATTTCACCTTGCTTTTTCCCTAATCGATACACTGTACTAGTATTTGTTGACAAATTATTCCGATGTTGTGTGATATATTTCATGAGATAGCTAAAGTTATTACGTTAACTAACTGGATCAACAAAGTCGATATGACTTGTTACACGCGCACGTTAACACGTCAGTTTGATATGCTTGAACTATTACGAGTTTACCTTAGTCGGAAAACAAGAGCGAAGATCGAGGATTCGGCGACACGACAGGCTACTCTAATCCGACTGTCCCGACCCTCCTAATCAGTAAAAGAAGAAGACTTCATATGAAGTAGAAACTGTATTTTACAAGCATCCAGAAGAGAATCAGGATCCCGGACTAGGGATCCGAATACGGGTCCGGGTCATAAAACACTACAGATTATGCGTATATATACAGTTAGGTGGATTAGGAAACTGCATTGAAGTTTGTGACATTGACAGTTAGGACGACCATATTACTGACCAGTGGGAATTATCCAATAGGATTTGACCAATAGAACTAGACTTATAAACAATTATCTTTAAGATATTTGATGAATATCCTAACACGACTATCTATCATCGAATTTTCAACTATGTATTGCTTTGTTTGTTACTGTCATGAATGTTATTCTATTGAAGTGATGAACCGATCAATTTTAGACCACCACTAGAAACCTGAAAACAGTCTAAAGGACCGCTTCGTCCTACTGCAGTGTGCATCCACGATCCAATGAGCAGAAGTCAGACTTGGGACATGTTGTCTGGCGCAAACATTTAATCTCTTGACCAGTGTTAATGTCTATTGAACTCTATTCATAAGGAATTCTCGGAGTTCTAGTGAGACCTCATGACCAGTGCAGTTCAACTGCTTTGAGTGTAAGGCAGTTGAAAATCGAAGATGACTTGTCCTAAGCCCTTTAAAAGGAGGAGGGTTGAGCATGGGGTTAGCGACCCCATGCCTTAGAAAACTAACTCGCTTAAAAGAACGCTAACCAGAAAATTAGATTCAAACCATTTAAAATCTGCCCTTAGAGTTAGAAGGTTATGACATCTCATGATGAAAAGCGAATTCCTTCGGTAGTCACTAAACCGATGCCCCTTATGACAGCCAACAGCCCTTCCATTGTGTGGGCAGCCAGGAAGTAACATCCTCCTTCATATCCGTAACAGCACACAAGAGACCAAACTGGTCACGAATCAAATATCATAAATCTTTATTAAACCACTCTCTATTTAAAAATGATTATTATACTTGTTTTATTTTCCCCTTAACAATATACTACTTAAATTCAAAATAAAGATGAATGAATTTATACAAAACATTTGTATGGAACCATGTCAACATGATGTATTCAGTATTTCAATGGAAAAAGCAACAAGTACAATGAATGTTACTCGTAGTAAACATAATACTACTACTAATAATAGTAATAATCAAGACCAGCTTGATAAAGAAGCCCCCGCAAATAAATCTCATGAAAAATCAGCATTCATGCAAAACCAATCCATTATATCATCGCCGTCATCTTCAATCAGTTGTATAGATTTGTTTGCACAAATTTGTCGTCTTATTGTAGAAATGTCCAATTTTCCTTTATCTGTTATGCATCAATATAAAAATTCCACTGGGAATACGTTTAATTATCAATCAGAAATGAATCTTTTAGATTTATTCGGTGGTGAACTTATACGTCAACCAAATACAGGTAAGCTTATAATGAATACTACTGGTTAAGTGAAAAATATATTATAAGCGTTTAGCTAGTTTTTCAATTGTACATATATATGTATGTTATTGTTACAACCTGTTACCTCCCTTCGGTGGAGCATAGGTTGTCACGGATCAGCGTTCTCCGACCTATGCTATCGTGGGACTTCCTTTCCAGTTCTGTCCAATTTTTGTTCATTCTTCTCATGTCTGTCTCCACTTCTCGGTTAAATGTGTTTCTTGTCTCTCCTCTTTTGCTTTAACCTTGAGAGTTTGAAGTGAGGGCATACAGTTGTGTGCCTTCTTCAATGTGTGTCCTATCCATTTCCTGATTTCTTCGTCTGCTGAAATCTGGTTTGTTTCTTTCGCTCACTATGTTTTTGCTGTTAATGTTTGGTCAACGGGTTCGAAGTATCTTGCATCAACACCTGTTAATAAACACGTTTATTTTGTCAATGATGGCTTTGCTAGCTCTTCCGCCCCATACAATAGAACTGTGTTTACATATGTAATGAAAGTTCTGACTTTGGTGTTGGTCGATAGTTGTTTTAAGTTTCAGATGTTCTTCATTTGTAGAAACGCAGACCTTACTTTTCCGATCCGCGCCTTCACATTTGTATCAGATTCACCTTACTCGTCAATGGTGCTGCCCTGATGTGTAAAGGTTTTTACATCTTCCAAGGTATCTCCGTCAAGTATCATATTTTGTTGGCTCATGTTATGTTGCTTCGGAAAATCTTGCTTTCCCCCGTTTATGTATGTTGAGACCTGCTGATAATGAGGCCGCTGCTACACTGGTCATCTTCCCTTGCATTTGTTATTGCGTGTGCGATAGAAGAGTCAGATCATCTGTGAAGTCTAGATTGTCCAGCTACATCCTGGTTGTCCACTGTATAACGTGCTTCCCTCCAGATATTGACGTCTCCATATATATATATATATATATATATATATATATATATATATATATATATATGTCCAGTCAGTCAGTCAGTTACGACGTATAACTTCGTACGTACGTACATCAGTTCAACTTGCCATATCACATTAGCATAGAGATGCAATTGTCACTTGAAATCCCATAATAGTAGTAGAGGTAGTACAAGTATTAGCAGTAATCGGAGAGATTATGGTTTGACGATGCTATTCATGAGGTATCCACACTTGTACTACCTGTACTACTATGGGATTTGAATCGACATTGTAATCTCTCTATGCTAGTGTGGTGTGTCAACTTCAACTGATGTACGTACGTGCATACCGACTTCTACACTGTAGCTGACTGACTGACTGACTGACTGACCGATCTGATATTTTGAATTGATTTTGGTTAATACATTGTAACCTTTTGTACCTCAAATTTATGTTCTCTATTTTTATTATATTTGATCACTAAGTGTAACACTAATGTATTTTTTTCACAATTATGTGTCTATCTATCTATCTCATTGAATTTAGGCGATTATTTAACCAAGGAATTTATCGTTGGTTTACAACAATTTGCAATGCTAAACAATGCTCATTGTTATTTTCATTACAGTTTGGGTAATTTTTAAGAAGAATAGCAACAATAACTCATTATGATCTAAATCATCATTTTTTGTGCGTGTTTGCGTTTGTGTGTGTTTTGATTAACTAACACAACAATCATTCACTTAGATTGAATAGTTAGTTCTGTGAATCAATGACAGTTTCTCACCTTCTCCTTCTCTCTCGCTCTGTGTGTGTGTGTGTGTTTCAGCTAACACAGTGTGTTTCTTCTCTTTGCTTTGCAATGAACATGTTTTCTCCACAATTTTCATGAATTCGTAGTTTGTATCCTTTAAAAAATTCAACTGATCAATGCATATTCGCCATGTTTGATTGTGCCATCATCATCATCATCATCATCATTGTCATCGTCTGTGTTCGCTTGATGATTGATTATACACTTTTTATCTAAACAGCATGTCCTCTGACCTGTCCCCTCCTAGCCGCCGCGGCCAACATGAAATCTAACTACACAAATGGACCGTCGGTCCACTTATATATATACATACATCCGAACATATTTATTCTCATTCTAAGCGATTTACACACTTTGCACATCTGCCATGTGTAAATAGGAGTGTGATCAGCTATGAAATATACTCATTGAAATCATGAATCGATCAATGTTAGACACCTGGAAGCACCGGTAAGGGATTTATCAGCAATCCGCATCCACAACTTCTGTACCTCGCAGGATTCGAACCACTGAGTCGGTATCTAACAGTATTGATGTCCAACTTCAATCATTGCTGATAAGTCGCATACTAGGATGAAATGGCCATCTGTCAGTGCTTCCAGATTTCTAATGGTGGTCTAACATTGATCGATTCACGATTTCAATGAGTCAGTCAGTCAGATGTAACGTCGAACTTTGTACGTACGTAAGTACATCAGTTCATGTCGTCTTACCACATCAGCACAGAGATATAATTGTCAATTCAAATCCAATAGTAGTAGAGGTAGTGAAGTTATTAGTAGTAATTGGAGAGGTTAGGATTAGAAGATATTATTCAAGAAGTATAATTCAGTGAGATAAGTTTAGAAAGGCAAAACTGGAGGTGTCGAAGAATCCACAAGATTGCGATTTGAGAGAACACAAAGAATATATGCACACTACACAACAAATCTCGTTGAGGCAGTCGGTGGTTAGGCATACGCAACACATGCCCCAACCACCTCAACTGATGAAATGTCACCACTGCGTCTATTGATTTGCCATTCTTATCTAGCACCCGTTTCCTAATAACAGCATTGCTCACTCGGGTGTCCCACGATATACGAACAATGCTTCAATGAGTAGTAACTTAACCATCTCCACAACTGCATTATGAAATATACACCGCGTGTTGTATGTGGTGTGCTCATAAATAATCATTATCAACCAATCTGTATGTGTGTGCGTTTTGTTGTGTTGTGTTGCGTTGACTTGCATTTGATCTTCATTAGAAAATTGTTTTCTCAATGTTTATCTAATCATCATGATCACATGCAATCTCTCTCTCTCTCTCTCTCTCTTGACATTGTTACCGTTTACGTTTTGTTCTGTTCTGTATTGTTTCACTTTGCATTCATTTGTATTGATTGTGTCGTCTAATTATCATCATCATCATCATCATCATCATCATTGTGTTGTTACTTTTTATTCAATTCGTGTTTGATTTTGTTTCTTTTGTTTCTTTTCTTTTTTTGTTCTCTCCATTTATCCACAGGTTGTTTTATTTTGCCACAATGGCTTGTTTGTCTACTGTATGCATCATGTAATGTAGACAATTTCAATATTAAATCGATTGCATTGTATACATTGATTGAATTATTTCATGCAGCTATATCCATTCATGGTTGGAATACTGAATTACCATGTCAGTTGTCGGACAGCACTGCTGCGACTACTTCCACTACTAATGATCGTGATGATGATCACAGCAGTGCTAACGACACTGAACAGATTCATTCAGGAAAGATGAATAAAACGGAAAATAAATCAGCTGCTACGAATGGTAAACATCAAGTCAATCAGGGAATGCGTTTAGTATTTCCTGTATTAAGTGGAGAATTAATGGCTTATCTAAGTCAAAGTACAAATTTATTTACGGTATGTATGTAAATTTTTAACAGGTAAACGTTTGTATATTATGCACAATGTAGTTTTAAAGAGAAAATATTCCACAAAGATAATAAATAGACTGTAACAGCAGTCTACTGTGATGAAACTGATGTTGAGTAACCTAGAGGTCTTTCGTAGGTTACACTAGTCTTCGATCATCGGCGTCTCTGAAGCCATTGCTCGTATACCGTGGGACAACCGAGTAAGCAATGCTGTCGTTGGGAAACACGTTCTAGGTAGGAATTGTAAATTAATAGATGAACTAATGAAACTTCATCAGTTGAGGTGGTTGGGACATGTGTTACGTATGCCTAACCGCCGACTGCCTCGTCGAGCTATGTTTTGTGGTGTGCGAGTAGGTTGGAAGAAAGCTAGGGGTAGCCAAACTAAAACATGGCAGAAATGCATGAAGTCACTGACAAGTGGACTGAGTCATTTGGTAGGTAGGCTACCTGGTTGGCGTCCGCGAGACGAAAGTCATCAATAGTTAGTTAGGTGCATCCACTGTTTGTGTTCTCTCTAATTCTCTTTCTAAATTTATCTCACTGAATTACACTTCTCGAATCATATCTTCGCTACATATTCTTGTCCACTACTGCTAATACTTCTATTATTGCTATCACTCCTGGATTTGAACTGACAGTTACATCTCTGTGCTGATATGGTGTGGCAACCTGAACTGATGTACTTATGTACGAAGTTCTGCATTGTATCTGTCTGTTTGTATGCAAATTATATATTTTCTTAAATCATAGTAAAATATTTTTGAGTTTGAATTGTATATTGTTTAGCTTTTTCATGATATTGGGTTAAGGTTATGAGTTGGGAACCATGAGTTTATACTTGTTTACGTAAACTTATTAATCGCAATGGAGCTTACGCTGCTGACAAATATTCTCTAACCTACTCTGTCCTTGACTTTTATTTCTAGTTCTATCTAATCGTTGTTCATTCGTCTCATGTCTGTCTCTGTTTTTCGGTCTTCCTCTTTTCCTTTGCACTTGAGGATTCCAATTGGAAGCTTGTCTTTTGACGCAGTTGAGTAATGTCGCCCAATGCGTGTCCTATCTACTTCCTGTGCTTCTTCGTCTGCTAGTATCTGGTTTGTTCTGTCCCACAGTAGAGTGTTCCGGATCAGTCAGTTAGTTACAACGTAGAACTTAGTACGTACGTACATCAATTCAGGTTTCCATGCCACATTAGCACAGAGACGCAATTGTTCATTCAAATCCCATAGTAGTAGAGGTAGTATTCTGGATGGTGTCTAGCCAGTGAATCCCAAGTTATGAGTTTATAGCTTGAAAGTTAATCGAATCATAAGTGTTTTATTGACCAAACAAATGATTATTTTTTCCTTAGCTTTATATGATACATTGTGGCGTTAATTAGATGACCTTCAGAAAGCAGGTACGTAGCAGTAAATATAGAGCTCCTTTTGTTTTAATGTAAAAATCTTTATCACTGCACTGATCGATAATCTCTCACCAGGGATCGGGACGAGATGATTCAGGTGGTGAAGTGAGGAGCATCTAATCTTTAGATCGCTAAATCTTAATCCAATCGCGTCTAGTTCTATTTGAAGACATTCTCATACTGGCATCATTTATCTCACTTTGGAGACACATTGGTGAACTTCAATTATTGATTGATTGATTTATGAAACTTCTTTCTTTTTCTATCTAGTATTTAGGCATTTCATTATGGCATTATCTATCACCAGAATATTCAGCTTATCATGAAGATACAACAAGTTTACTTGTTCGTCTACATCAATTAGCTCCACCAATGCCAAAATCTATTTCTATCGGTTATCAATTCACTACTAATACTACTACTACCACTACCACTAGTCCTTCAGGTGGAGCAGGAGCAGGAGGAGGATCAGCAACAGCATTCTCTAACACTATTAGTTCATGTATAGAGAATTTCATTCTTTCACAAATGCTTTCATCTAATTTAACCACTAAAATCGATGCTCAATCACGTTTTATCCTATTATGGCATTTAATGCGTTATTATGGATCACGTGGTCAATCAACAACATCATCATCATCAATTCCTGTTGCTGGTAGTAGACGATCAGCAACAACAGCAGCAGCATCAGCAACGCATGAATCATCATTTAGTAGACAACAACAACAAAATGGATTTTACAATTCCATCACAGCGGTATCATGGAGGCGTAGATTTCTTTGTCCGACTGAATCTAAAAAATCAATTGGTCACAGCGATTTATCAGCTGGTTTAAATTTATATGATATTCCTTTTTATAGGTAAGGTTACATTTTCAAATCTGTTTCATACTATATTTTAATGATTTTTCTTCTGAAATCGATGTTAGGCCAGTATTAGAAACTTGAAAGCACTAAATGACCTCTGGGTCCTTATATGGTACTCATCAGCAGTGCGTGTCCACGACTCCTGCACCTCGTAGAATTCAAAACCAGTACTTTCAGTTTTGCGCACAAACACCTAACTTCTGCATCACTGAGCTGGTATCTAACAGTGTTAATGTCTAACTTCGATCGATTCACAGTATCGCACAGCCTTATGCACTGTCTTCGTTGAGCACTGCTTCACACACGAACATGGTTGGCCTCTAATGGTCATGGCTCAGCGGTCCAGAGGTTAGGTGTTCGCGTACAAAACCGAAGTTCCAATCCTGCGAGACGCAGGAGTCGTGGATGCGCATTGCTGATAAGTCCCATACCAGTACGAAACGGCCGTCTAATGGTGGTCTAACATTGATCGATCTCAAGAAGTAACTCGACATTCTCCGCAAACCCATAATGCATTTTAATGATTGTGCCCAATTATGACTACTCAGCGAATATATTACATAACATTTTTGCCCGTCTATATACCATATCTAATTGTCGACGAATATAATATCAGTAAATTCATTTTTCTTTCTATGTCTGTCATTAATCAACATTGAATTTAAGTACTGTAAGAGATAAAACATGTTCTTCTTATCATCTTAGGTTTGTGAGTCCATTGATTTTGAATGTATGAAGTGATGTTGCATGTTGATTGCAGTAGCAGGCCTAAATATGTATTTTCAGGCAGAGTTTTGGAGGTTTGTGTTTTTACACATATTTGAAATCATCAGTCAATCATTGTTAGACCACCATTAGAAACCTGGAAGTACTGGATAGCCATTTCGTCCTGGTATGGGACTCATCGGTGGCAGTGCACATCCATGACTCCTGCACCTCGCAGGATTCGAACCCCCGGACCTTTGGTATTTTGCGCGAACGCCTAACTGTCGGACCACTGGAACGGCATTTGTATAGTACAATAATATACTTTTGTATTTAGTTTTGCCTTGATTATTATTGATCTGTCTGTCATTTAATGTTATCGTATGGTATGGGTTTATCATCTAAAGTATTTTAATAAAAAAAACTATTATTTGTCTAATATAAAAATACTATTAGCATCGATCACACGTCAACCACTTGACCTCAATTTATTAAGTCATACATTCCGAGAGTGTTTTTACATTACTGATTATTCTTTGCTAAGCATTTTTAGGGAGGTAGGTATGAGATGTTTTTAATTCAGTTCACACCATTATATAAATTCACTCTCAATTGGCAAGCGTAATTCTCTACATTGGTTTTCAGGAGAACCAAAGAGACTGTGCACGTGTTAACATTTCAACGTAAACAGTACGGCTCAATCCTGTTGCGCAACCATCATACAGGTTGGTACCTGACACCCTGATGGACTATTCACACGATTTATATACACTAGTACATATATCAGTCAGTCAGCTACAACATAGAACGTTTTACGTATGTACATCAGTCCAGGTTGCCATACCACATTAATTGTGACCAATTTGGTCTTGTGCGCTGTTACCGGGTATGAGGGTGGATGTCACTTCCAGACTGCCTATACCGTGGTACATATATAGTGATTATTTCCGATCCATGATCGCGTCAATCAATATGCGCAGCTTGAAGAGGCTTGCATGACTGTCAAACTCACTATTATTAGCAATGTTGGTATGCAATACGGCGCGTCCCAATGACGATAACCGTCGTTAATGTTCCAAGACAACCACCAGTATCAGTAAAGTCGGTTACCCTGCTGACCAAATTTGTATATGGACTATTAGTAATATTTGCCAAATCAATGCCAAACCATCCACAATATTCATCATAATGAACCTCTGGTCTCACAGGAAACCTTCAGCTCTATATACAGCAATATAGCTTAAGGTGTATACATAGTATGGCATAGGATAGTGTAAACGATGCAGTCCAACTTGATGCGAATGGGCTCAAACACTTTTATTACCGTTTATCTCATATTGGCTAATGATTTTTCATTGTTTTGACGTGAACTAGGTGTATCCATCCTCTTTCAGTTGTATTTACAGAGTTCCAAGAAAAAAATTTTCCCACTAAACTTCAAAATTCTTCAAGTTCGTTATTATTATTATTTTGATCACTAAGTCAGTCAGTTGCAACATAGAACTTCGTATGTATGTACATAAGTTCATGTTGCCATACCGCATTATTAACAGAGACGCAAATGTCAAATCAAAAATCCCATAGTGATAGAGATTGTAGAGGTATTAATGGTAATAAAGAAGACTAAAGGGTTTGAAGATATTATTCAAGAAGTATAATTCAGTGAGATAAGGTTAGAAAGACAAAGGTAGAGGTGTTGACGAATCTAGAAGATTAGGATTTGAGAGAGCACAACTAATAGATGCATTTGCGCCATTGCAAACGATTCTGAGCCATGTCATTCAAGGTCTGTAACCATTAGTGGCCTCCATAGCTCAGTGGTCAGAGGAGTGGTCTTGTAAACCAGGGGTCGGGAGGTGTTCGATTTTGATCACTAAGCTACTGTATTTATGATACTATGACAAAATTCATTTTTAATTCTCACCCCCTTTACACTCACATTACTTTACTTCACCTTGTTTCAACTATGAATAATCAGCTGATCAGTCAGTTATTCTAGTTATTGTGTTTACACAAAAGTACATATATGTATGACTCAAATCTTAGCAATAAAAATATAATAACATGTACTGAAAATAGTTAGTTAGTTAGTTTAGTTGATTAGTAAGTAAGTAACATTTCAAACAAGTTACATACATGTCATACTTCGTTTGAGAGTGTATGTGCTTTGAAATAAGAAAAAAAACCCAAATGAACTGGGTGTGTCTATGGTGTGTGTGTTTCTTACTTCTATTGATTGGTTATTCATGCATTTTGTGATGTTTTTATATTTTCATATGTTCGTCTTCGTCATCATCATCATCATCAAATCAATCAATTAGATGTACTCTTCTCTTATTGGATAATTTGGATTATGATAATCCTCCATTAAATCCAATTGATTCAGTTAAACAAAACATTGAACAATTGAATCAAACAGATCGCGATCATGATCATGATGATCATCCAATCAATTTTGGCAATTCTATTCTACATGATCAATCGGTTGTATGGATAGAGAAAGCATTGAGAACTGGTCAAATTGATCGATTGATTGTACCGATTCTAGCTATCTTATTACATCCTGCCACGGCTAGAATTAGTCTTAAATCACATGTATTAAAACATTATTATTGTGAACAAATGAAAATAACAAAATCAAAAAAATTATTTGTGAATAATTTATCGAATTCAATGAAGACAGGTAAGAGATCAAAAAAAAACATCAGCTAAATGCATCCATCTATCTATTCATTGATTCATTCATTGTGTGTACAACTTAATGATCTTGGAAGTTATTCTGTCATCTTTCAGTACAATTCAAACACTAGGTTCAGTAAGTTGTTGAGCAGTTGTTAAAAAACAGGGTACACTAGGTTAAGGCTTGACATCAATAGATGAAGTTGAGAATGTTTATCAGTTGTGATGGTTGGAATATGTGTTACGAATAATGCCCAACCACCAACTGCCTCGTCGAGTCATTTTTTGTGGTGTAAAAGTAAGTTGGAATAAAGCTGTAGGGGTAGCCAAACCAAAACATGTCACAAATCCTTGAAGTCACTGACACAAGTGGACTAAGTCATGTTGGTAGGTGTCGACTACCTAGTTGGGGTCCCGCCATACGAAAGTTACCTATGGTTAAGGAACTTGAATGACATGGCTCAGAATCGTTTGGAATGGCGCAGGTTCATTCATTGATTGTGTTCTATCAAATTCTAATCTAAATACTTCATTATCTCTATCTTTCTCTTTTCCAGTTTATTTACTTAGTTACTTACTTATTTATACCTGTTACCCTCAATGGAGCGTAGGCCGCCCACCAGTTTTCTCCAACCAACTTTGTCCTGGGCTTCCCTTTCTTTTCCCTTCCAGCTTTTGTTCATTCTTCTGATGTCTTTCTCTATTTCTCGGCGTAATGTGTTTCTTGGCCTTCCTATTTTCGTTTTACCTTAAGGGTTCCAAGTGAGGTCTTGTCTTGTGACGCAGTTCAGTGCTTTCGCAGTGTGTGTCTTATCCACTTCCACCGCTTCTTCCTGATTTCCTCCTCCACTGGAATCTGGTTTGTTCTCTCCCACAGTACGTTGTTGCTGATCGTGTCTAGATAAAGGATCTGAAGTATTTTGCTAAGATAACTGTTGATAAACACTTGTATCTTCTGGATGATGGCTTTGGTAGTTCTCCAATTTTCTGCTCCATACAGTAAAACTGTCTTCACATTTGTATTGAATATCCTGATTTTGGTTTTGGTTGAATGTATGTTTGGAGTTCCAGATATTTTTACAGTTGTAGAAATGCAGCCCTTGCTTTGCCGATTCGCGCCCTCACATCTGCATCGGATCTACATTGATTGCCGATGATGCTGACAGGATATGTAAACGTGTTAACGTCCTCCAAGGCATCTCCATCAAGATTGATTTGATTGGTACATGTTGTGTTGCATCGGAGGATACTGCTTTTTCCTTTATGTATGTTGAGACCTACTGCTGCAGAGGCTGCTGCTACACTGGTCGTCTTCTCTTGCATTTGTTGTTGCGTGTGCGATAGAAGAGCCAGGTCATCTGCGAAGTTCAGATCGTCCAGCTGCATCCTAGCTGTCCATTGGCTACCATGCTTCCCTCCAGATGTTGACGTCTTCATAACCCAGTCGATCACCAGGAGAAAGAGAAAGGGTGAGAGTAAGCAGCCTTAACTGACACCGATCTTCACCTCGAAAGCTTCTGTTAGCTGTCTTTCGTGTACGATTTCACAGTTGAATCCATCATAAAAATTCTGTATCATGTTAACTATCTTCTGAAACACATCGTAGTGTCGAAGAAGCCTCCACAGTGTTTTCCTATCCACGCTATCGAATGCTTTCTCGTAGTCGATGAAGTTGATGTAGAGTGATGAATACCATTCAACTGATTTTACACAATGATCCGTAATGTTGCAATTTGGTCAGTACACGATCGATCCTTACGAAATCCAGACTGTGGGTCTCGAAGTTGGGCGTCTACGAAGTCCTTCATTCTGTTTAACAATACCCTGTTGAAGACTTTGCCTGGTATTGAAAGAAGAGTGATGCCTATGTAGTTCTCACATTTTCTGAGATCGTCCATCTTTGGTATTTTGATGAGGTGTCGTTCTTTCTAGTCTGATGGTACTTGTTCCTCATCCTAAATCTTGTTGAAGAGAATGTGAAATATTTTTGCAGTTGTTTCCACATCTTTTTGCATTGTCTCTGCTGGAATGTTGTCTGGTCCTGCTGATTTGCTACTCTTGATTTGTCTGATGGCCATGCTGATCTCCGCAATCGTAGGTGCGCCAACATCGATTGGGAGGTCTGTGGATGCTGCTTCGATGTTAGGTGTGTTCAGTGGAGCTGGTCGATTCAGGAGTTCCTTAAAGTGCTCTACCCACCTACTTCGCTGTTCTTCAGTGTTGCTGATTACTTCCCCTTCCTTGCTTTTCACTGGTCGTTCTGGTTTGCAATGGTTTCCAGCGAGCTTCTTTGATGTATCGCACCATTGTCTCATGTTTCCTTTTCTTGGAACCCTTTCCGCCGTCGTTGCTAGATTCTCCGCATATTTTCGTTTTTCAAGTTTATTTCACTGAATTATAGTTCTTGAATAATATCTTCAATCACTAATCTTTCCGATTACTGCTCATATTTTCTACTACCTCTAACGCTATGGGATTTTAATCGACAATTATATTTCTGTGTACTAATATGGTATAGCAATTTGAACTGATTCACGCACGTACGTACGCACGAAGTTCTACGTTACAACTGATAGACTGATTATCCACTTATCATTAACAGCATGGTGTCTTTTTATATCTTTTAACACGGATTGTATTATTTTATTTAAGTTCAAAGTTGTAATCTCGTATTGTATCTATGATATGTTGAAACAAACATTGAATAACCAAGAGATCTTAACATATCTCATTAAAGTTCTCAATGAATGTTCTCAGCCCTAATACTAAGCCTGCACAAATTATAATAGTTTGGATTTTCTAACAGAAATATTCTTAACGACATTAAATTTAGTTTAGTTTTTGTTGTTGTGAAATTCGTTTAAACTGATTCTTTCTATCTATCTCTCTGTCTCTCCTGATTGTTTTAGACACTGATTGTAAACCACCATCGTATGAAGAAGTTGTCAATGCAATGAATACTACTAGTAATACGAATTCTCAAGTAAGTAGTATTCACTAGTTGATTTTGTGGTGAATAGTTTTTTTTCACTAATAATCATTTTACGGGTTATTAATTTTGAGATGGTAGAGAAAATTTGTAGCTAGCTCAAATGGATGATTGTGGTAATGTTTCGTTCGCTAAGCTGTGAATGTTTAGGTTATGGAGCTTTCATCATTGTTCTGAACAACATTATCAGTACAGAATTCAGATAGAAGTTTTCGAATTTCTCCACGTTTGACCCACAGCTTGTTCTGTTAACCTCCATTTTGATTGGTTGTTATTAACCTTAAACCTGTGGTTGTTTACACCTTTATTATGACCGTGTCCACCTTTGATCTGTTTTCTTTCATCCAATCTTTGTTTACGATTTTTTTGATTGGTTGATTGATTAGATCAATGTCATTGTGTTTGTTGATTGCTGACTGACCTGAGTGTACCAAGCTTCTAAAAATTCTGTACTGTTCTTTATACTCCCCCTATCCAGTATTTCAACATTGTCCATAATTGTCAGTGTGTATTGATATAAGTGAAGAAATGTCATGGTGTTTGACTGCTAATTTGTGTTCACGTAAACGAAGCTGAAGAGAGATGGTGGAGAAGATTTGTAGCTCAGGTGGATGCGGAAATACTGGGTAGGGGGAGGACAAAGAAAACTAGAGAATTTTAAGGAGCTTGGCACTCAGGTCAATCAGCAATCAACAAACACATCGACATTGACCCAGTTTATCAACTAATCAGGAAAATCATAGGTGACATAGGATCAAGAAACAGATCAGAAGGGGGATGCAATCAAAAGAAAGTTGCAAACAAGACAGGTCAACAGCAACCAATCGAGATGGGGGTTAACAGAACAAGCTACAGGTCATGTGTGTGGAGAAATTCGAATGCTTCACTTCTTCTATCTGAAGTTTGTGCTGCTGATAATGTTGTTCAGAAGAAGAACAATAATAAAAGCTCCACAACCAAAACATCCACAGCTCAGAGAAGCTGAAGAGGTCATCCACTTTGTCTTATGTCGTATTTTTTTCCCAGACTGAGCAGTTGTTTATTTTGTAGATGATATTTAGTTTTTCTTCCTTTGTCCTTTTTGGTCTGCATAAGATTGATTGAAGTGATTCTGTTTGGTTTTATGTACTACACACCTATTTCAAATGATTTCAGTAGTGGTGCTGTATTATTCATAAAATTAATTATTAATTTTAACTCGGAACATGTTTAATTCATAAACACATTCATCAATCAAGCAGAATTATCTGAAATATTGTAGTAGTCATATAAATCGGGTACAGTTGAGCGAACACAAGCATAGTCTCGTCTATTCGGTATTGTTGAATCATCGATAAGAAATCATGACTGATCTGTAATTTTATTTTCTTTGATTTATTGACATTCATTTTTATTTTGAGGGCAGAGTTTTGGAGGTTTGCGTTTTGATTGATGATTTCAAATGTGTAAAAACGCAAACCTCCAAAACTCTGCCCCCAAAATAACGTAACAGTGCTCACTAGTGACTAGCTTCGTGAGGAAATTCTCGGAGTTCTAGTTGAGAAGACGTGACCAATGGAGTTCAACCCTGTCGGGTGTAGGCAGTAACTACCAAAGACAAATGGGTGAGGTCGCGCAAAATCCCTAGATCAATCAGAGTTAGACATTAACATCGTTGGATGCCGGCCCAGTGATCCGATGGTAAGGCGTTCGCCTACAATGCCAAAGGTCCCGGGTTCGAATCCTGCGGGGTGCATTAGTCGTGGATACGCACTGCTGATGACTCTCATTCCAGGACGAATTGGCCGTCTTTCAGTGCTTCCAGGTTTCTAATAGTGGTCTAACAATGATTGATTGATGACTTCAAATTCATTTTTACCATTGATTTCATTATTTTTTATGAGTTTCATCCAACAACAGCGATGTTTTTTCTTGTTTTAATCGGCATCAATAGGCCATTCAACACAGAACAGAACAAAACATGTTTTAAATACACTTAGCATGTTGATGTACTAATTGAAATTTCATGTTTTGTTTTGATCAGAAGTTAATCATTTCATCGATACTGATTGATATTTCATTGAAATCATGAATCGATTATTGTTGTTAGACCACCAGTAGAAATCTGGAAGCACTGGGCAGCCATTTGGTCCTGGTATGGGATTCATCTGCAGTGCGCATTCACGACTCTGCACTTCGCACGGATCTAGCCCAGTACTTTCGGTCTCCTTCGTGAACGTTTAACCTCTAGGCAATTGAGTCGGCATCCAATGGTGTTGATGCACAACTTCAATCAATCCAACGAATTGCACACCGCACCCGTTTTCTTCGGTCTGTTAGTGTCTATACCCGACTGGGTTAAACTCCACTGGTCACAACTTTTCACTGGAACTCCGAGAATTTCTTCATGAAACTAGACCCTATTGAGCAAATCCTTATACTGTTCATTATAGAGTTCACCCGCAAGACCGAAGGTCCCGCGTTTGAGTGGAGGGAGTCTTGGATTCTCACTGTTTATGAGTTCCATCTAAGGCTTCCAGGTTTCTAATGTTATGTTTCTAATGTAATTGTCAATTCAAATTCAATAGTAGTAGAGGTAGTAAAGGTATTAGCAGTAATCGGAGAGGTTAGGATTAGAAGATATTAGTCAAGAAGTAGAATCTAGTGAAATAGACTTAAAATGATAAGAAGGTTAAAGTGATGAAGAATTAAAAAAGTTTAGGGTTTGTTAGAACACGATAAACGAATGCACCAGCGCCATTTGAAACAATTCTAAGCCATGTCATTCAAGTTCCTTAACCATCTGTAACTTTCGTCTCGCGGGGGACCTCAACCAGGTAGTCTACACCTTTCCAACATGGCTAGTGTAGTCGAGTTGTCACTGACATCATGCATTTGTGCTAGGTTTTTGGTTTGGCCGCCCCTAGAGCTTTCATCCAACCTATTCCTTCAAGTGGATGGAGTTTTGGATTCTCACTGTTTATGAGTGCCATCTAACGCTTCCTGTTTTCTCACATTAGCTTAACATTGATCGATGCATGAATGCAATGAGGCACTGTAGTGCCTCCACATATATTCCAGTTCGCTTACATCTAACTTGGTTAAGCCCTTTCGATTAATTTATTTAACCAAGCCATTTGTACTATTCGTTCTTATTAATGTCTGGTTTGTATGAGCTCACATGACATGTTCCACTTGTCATTTGACCTTGTCAATCATTCGTCGCTTTTATTCATGTGTGTGCACGCCTATTTCGCTTGTCATATGTCTGCCTTATTTTTATCTGACTATATATTCTTAGTCATGTTCTATCTCTTTGAAGTTGGCTCATTAGCATTCTCCAATTCACGTCGCTTGATTCGTTTTATTTACTGCCTCACCGCTTTACCGCTTTGTGGTGTGTCCCGAATAAATGTATTCATCACTACGAATTCATCTTCTGTTTTATAAACCGTCAGACGCTGTTTGGCAACGATTGTCTAGACAAGCTAATTACCGAGCTTTAGAACACGCAGTAAATCGACACACTAGAGTAGGACTAGGAGAAGTTCACTGTTTATGAGTCCCATACTAGGACTAGTCTAACATTGATCGATGCATGAATGCGATGTGGCACAACATTTTTCACAACTTCATAATGAAAATAATTGATTTCACTTTTTTTTCAGTTTAATTCAGCTCGTTTGTTTTTGTATTGTATCTCTGTTGCATGTTCATCAATTCATGTTTTTATTCTCTTTATATTACAATAATTTGCATTGTGTTTACATAAGAATAAGATCAATTTCACAAAAAAAAACGAGTTAGTATGTCTGTGATTACAAATGTTTGTTTGTAATATCTGATATAGATAGTCCAATCAGAAATGTCTTCTTCAAGGACGAATATATATCATTGGTTAAGAAATAGATACATTATCTAAGGGGGAAGATGTATTTATGTATATATAGTTTGATTACTTTACCATTGATAAATGCTGATATTTAAGTGTCTTATGCAGTGTTTCAATGTCAGTTGTATAATTTAATGTAATGTACGTACATCATTCCAAAGTTGCCATACTGTTATAATTCTGCTACGTGGCAGCTATTCAGTCCTACCGACGTCCGAATTCAAATATTCCAATACGACCCAAAATACTGTACCCAAATCTCCTATATATATATATCAGAACGCATCACCGTTAGACGAAGTTGTTTAATGGATCGAGAACAGTAGAGAGGAAGGCAGGAAGAAACGGAATTACAAAGCTTTACAGATACTGCGTATTTATACATTTAGGTCGAATAGGAAAGAGTATCGAAGTCTGTGACATTGACATTTAAGACGACCAATAAGAAACAACATTAGAGTATGTGAAATTATAATATCTAGGACGACCATAAAATTAACCAGTAGAAATTGACTAATAATTCTCTTAGGATATTGGAAGAATATCTTAACACATACCACATTAGCATAGAGATGCAATTGTCACTTCAAATCCCATAGTAGCAGAGGTAGTAGAAGTATTAACAGTAATTGGAGAGATTAGGGTCAATAGCAACGTAGAACTTCGTACGTGTGTACATCAGTTCATGTTGCCGTACCACGTCAGCACGGAGATGTAATTGTCAATTCAAATCCAATAGTAGAAGAGGTTGTAAAAGTATTAAAAGTAATCGGAGAGATTAGGGTTCGAAGATAGTAGTCAACAATCAGAATCTAGTGAAATAAACTTAAAAAGAAAAGGAGAAAGGTGATGAAGAATCCAGAGAATTAGGTTTTGCGAGAGGACGAATGCACCTGCTCCATTGCAAACGATTCTGACCAATGTCATTCAGGGTCTCTAACTATTGTTTACTGTCATCTCGCGGATTATAGTAAACTATGATTATAGTCTATCAAGTTGATTGTTTTTATGTTTTGAAATGAGAAAGAAACGATTCAATATATTTGTCATTAGAGGGTTGTGAAGATTGTTGACTCTCATAAACCCTATATTGAAAGTCATGAAAATATGCTCACTAGTGACTAGCTTCGTGAAGAAACGTTTTCGGAGTTTCATTGAGAAGGCGTAACCAGTGGAGTTCAATCACCGTTGGTTGTAAGACATGTACGCATTAAACACAATCGATGAGGCTGCTCAATAATGTGAACTAGTCGAAGTTAGACATTAACCCGGTTGGATGCCGACTAACTGGCCTAGAGGTTCAGCATTCACACATGAGACCGAAGGTACTGGGTTCAATTCCCACTCTCGAGGTCGCGGATACGCACTGTTGAGAAATCTCATGCATGAAAAAAACAGCTGGCCAGCTCTTCTAGCTTTCTAATCCTGGTCTAACATTGGTTTATGATTTCAAATAATTATTATCAATCAACGATGCTTATTTTCATCCTACTATTCTCTAGATTTTAAAACAATTCCTTCTGTAGACCCTTCGGGGCTACTACCGGTCCCAAGCCTGGGTAAAGGATGCGGTTTGAAATGTGGGTTGGCGACCCCATTCCGGAAAAAAAACGCTAACCAGAAAAAATAATTCAAATCATATAAACTCTTACTCTGCTTGGGACTGAGAAGGTCTTCATTTAGAAGAGTTATGACGTCTCATGATGAAAACCGAGTTCCTTCGGAAATCATGAGTCTAATGCCCCTTCTGCCAACTAGAACCCTTGGAAAGTAACATCCATCCTCATACTCATAAAAGCACACGAAACCTAATTGGTTACAATCAAATCCTATTGATTGAGAATTTAGAAACATAACTAGTCAATGTTTTATGCTTAAATGTGCATAGTTGTTTCATTGTTTGAGTTAACAATCAGAAAACAAATAAGCAATAATGTACATATTTACTATTCAATTTTTTTTTCCTTGTTACATTAAAGTAATGCTAAAGGTTTCATGACACTTGTTGTTCATGCTTTGTGTTTATTTAAGTTATTAATATATTACACCAATATAAATATTCTTATAGTCTAAATTAGAAAATCAGTATCTCAATATCTTGTTTCGCAATATTATTAGTATAATTATCATTGTCTTTTAAGGAAATTAGATTGATGAAGTTGAATATTAACTTGCTTACTTACGCATGTTACTCCCAATGGAGCATAGATCGCCGACCAGTATTCTCCAACCTATTCTGTCCTGGGACACCCTTTCCAGTTCTGTCCAATTCTTGTTCATTCTTATCATGTATGTCTCTAACGCTCGGCATAGTATGTTCTTTGGATTTCCTCTTTTCTTTTAACCTTGAGGATTCCTAGTGAGGGGTTGTCTTGTGATGCAGTTGGTTTGTGTCCTATCCACTTTCTACGCTTTTTTCTGATTTCTAACTCCACTGGAATCTGGTTTGTCCCACAGTAGATTGTTGCTGATAGTGTCTGGCCAACGGATCCGAAATACTTTTGCGTAGACAACTGTTCATAAATACTTGTATCTTCTGGATGATGCCTTTCGTAGTTCTCCAAGTTTCCACTCCATACAGTAGAACTGTCTTGATATTTGTATTGAAAATTATGACTTTGGTGTTTGTTGGAAGTTGAATACTGGTCAATGTATATTTCTTTATGTATAGAATAGTCTAAAGATGACCGCATTATTTGATTGAATATATATATCAGATAGTTGGCGGTGAACGTCATCAATCACTGGAGATTTAAATGTTCTGCACTAGTGAATATTAATTGACAAGCTGTATTTGGAAGCCTCGAGCAATTGTTACCTTCCTTATGGAATTTCAACATGTTTATGATGAAACACATTCTCATCGTATAGTCAATTTGAAATGGTTTTATACCTTCATTTTAAACAAGAGAGTCATATTTACTAGACAGTAGATGAACAAATTGTTTGCTTGGCATGAAGAATAAGTATATATTTCTTTTTTCTTCGGGATCAATATCATACCACATCATCAGAAGATTATTGCATTAGAATATTATGGCCTGACCGTAGCTGCTGCCATAATGTGGTGGTCGGGCTTGACTATCGTGATGACCCAGCCGAGCTATATTGGCTGGAACATATGTTCCTACAGATCCGACCATGCTAGGCAGGTCGATTGGAGAACGATGAGGCTAAAAGCAGCTACTCAATGTCTGAGGGTGAAGTCGTACTGCTGACTATAGAGAGGTGTGACAGTAGTAAGGTGTTTCCCTTGGACAACCAGCATCTGTAACGATACTGCCTTCTCAAAAGGAAGGAAGGGGTTAGACATGATCGGCCGTAAAAATGTTTCACCTCATCTTACCTCATGGATTACCGTCTCTGGCAGTTAGGCCAATTGACGAGTCTCATACCAGAATGAAACAGCTTTCCAGTTCTTGAAGGTTTCTAATCATAGCCTCTCAGTGATTGATTCATGATTTCAATATAAATCAGAAAATTAGCTTGACATTTAGCTTAGACATTTTCTCATTATACCACTTTACGTGTACTGTTATTTTTTCTATACATATTCATTAATAGATAATATACTTTTTTTAATCAGCACCATTGTCTTATATAAAAAAGAGACATTCTTTTGATTTTTCATTTCAGCTTTCAACGACTGTGAACACTATGCCCACAGAAAATGCATCAAATTTAATGAATAATGGTACAGTGGGTGCACAATTACAACAAGTTGATTCTAGCATGGAATTAACTGATAAATCAGGAAGAACAGTCATCAATGAACTAAATACTACTACTACTACTACGAGTACTACTACTACTACTACCTCTTCGAAACAACAAACTGCTGAAGGTTAGCAATGATTTCAGATTGGGCTGTTTATTTCTCATCTGCATGAATATAATTAGGAGTGTGAAGAAGTTTTACCGTATGCGGTTTTTCCCCTTAAAATGCAAAATGATGCTTCAAGATTGGGTTGCATTGGCACCTGAACTAGTGATAGGAAGTGAAGCAGTTGAGCGAGTAGACCGCTTCATTTATCTCATCAGTGCTAATGGTCTGGTGTGTGACGAAATCTCATCACGAATACTGAAGGTTCGAATGGCTTTTGCCAACTTGCGTCACCTATGGCGCAGGCGAAATATCCGTTTACTAACAAAAGGACGAGTGTACTGCGCAGCAGTTCACTCTCTCCTACTATACGGATGTGAAACATGGCTGGTAACAGTAGAGGACATTCGTAGGTCGCTTGTTTTCGATCATGGGTGTCTTCGAAGCATTGCTCGTATATCGTGGGACAACCGAGTAAGCAATGTTGTCGTTAGGAAACGGGTACTAGGTAGGGACGTCAGATCAATTGATGAAATATTGAAACTTCATCAGTTGAGGTGGTTTGGACATGTGGTACGTATGCCTAACCACCGACTGCCTCGTCCAGCTATATTTTGCGGTGTAGTAGTAGGTTGGAAGAAAGCAAGGAGCGGCCAGACGAAAACATGGCAGAAATCCATGAAGTCACTGACAGGTGGACTGAGTCATGTTGGTAGATGTAGGCTATCTGGTTGTGGTCCGCTAGGCGAAAGTCACCGATGGTTAGAGACCTTGAACGATATGGCTTAAAATCGTTTTCAATGGCGCAGATGCATCTACTTTTTGTGTTTTCTCAAATCCTTACCTTCTGAATTCTTCATCATCCCTATCTTACGCTTTCTAAATATATCTCACTGAATTAAACTTCTCGAATCATATCTTCAAATCGTAATCTTCTCCATTACCAGTAATACTTCTACTATCGCTACCACTATAGGATTTGAACTGACAGTTGCATCTCTGTGCTGATGTGGTATGGCAACCTGAACTGATGTACTCATGTACGAAGTTCTGCGTTGTAACTGTCTGACCGACTGCAGAAGTTTTAAGCTGGTGGTTATTTTTGCTTTTTGCTATAGAACATGAGATTGGGAAAACATACTATGAGTTAGTTATTCGACTAGCCTATGAAAACAATCTGTTGTCATTTACCTGCTGACCTGAATGAAATGTCGAGTTCATGGTTAAGACCAGAGCGATAGTTGTGTTTTTTGTGATTAGAAACAATGTACTAGATGTGTTAAGATTTTTTGAAATTCTACTTTGTGGTATTAGTTCCTTTTTTTGTATTTTTGGGAGATTATTCCATCTTTTCGAATCATACCACATTGTATGCTCATTATTACCTCCAATCATTGACTTTTCTATTGTTAGAGTTTGTTTGTTACTTACGCCTGTTACACTCCCCCCCGCGCAATGGAGCATGCATCGCCAATCGACATTTTCCATCCTACATTGTCCTGGGTTATTTTTTGCACATCTTGTTCATTTCATTGCATGAGGCTAGTGTAATGAAGATCGATGCATTTTCATGTCGGATAGATGTTCTCTTGTTTGTCCATCATTGTTGGATGGCAGGTCAATAGATGGAATATTGAAACTTCATCAGTTCAGGTGGTTCGGACATGTTTTATGTATGCCTAACCACCGACTGCCTCGTCGAGCTATGCTTTGAGATGTAAGAATAGGTTGAACGAAAGTTAGGGGCGGCCAAACAAAAACATGGCAAAAATCCATGAAGTCATTGACAGGTGGACTGAGTCATGTTGCTAGGTGTAGACTACCTGGTTGAGGTCCGCGAGATGAAAGTCACCAATGGTTAGAGACCCTGAATGACATGGCTCAGAATCGTTTGCAATGGTGCCGGTGCATCCACTCTTTGTGTTCTCTCAAATCCTAATCTTCTTAATTGATCATCACCTCTATCTTTCTCTTACTTAATTTACCTCACTGAATCACACTTCTTGAATAACATCTTCGAACCCTAATCTCTCCGATTACCGCGAATACTTTCACTACCTCTACTACTATTGGATTTGAATCGACCATTTCATCTGTCTGTGCTAATGTGGTATGGCAACTTGAACTGGTGTATGTGCGTACGTACGTACGTACGAAGTTCTACGTTGCTGTTGATTGATTGATTGAGTAATATTGAAGAAAGAAGAGATAAGACATTTTTCAAGTGTTACAGTACAGTATAATCTTGAAAAACCCATTTACGATACAAGCATTTAGTTAGTTAGTTAGTTAGCTAGCTATAAAGTAGAACTTCGTACACACGTACATCAGTTCAAGTTGCCATATCATATTATCACATAAAAATCGAATTGTTAATTGAAATCCCATAGTAGATAGAGGTAGGAGAATTATTAGCAGTAAAGGAAAAGATTAGAGTTCCAAGAAATTATTCAAGAAGTATAATCCAGCGAAATGAACTTAAAATAAGCGAAAGATAGACGTGATGAGGAATTCAGAAGACTTGAACTTGAGAGAAAATAAAGAATGGTTACATCTGCGCTTTTCGAAACGATTTTGAACGATGTTGTTATCCACAGTCCTTAACTAACCATCGGTTACTATAATCTGGCGGACCCCAATCAGATAGTCTGCACCTTCTATAACATGACCTATTCCAGTTGTCATTCAGTGACTTGAGTGATTTGTGCCATGTTTTGGTTTAAAATCTCTTAGCATACTTCTATAACAACTGTCTTCTCTCTTACATCTCTTATGATCTCCTCTCAATGCACTTGGACATTCTTATGTGAGAGAACTTTCTAGGCGGCTCTCTGTTACATACTACTCCTCAAAGTAGGACGAAACGCGCTCTCTGTGTATTCCCACTGCTTAATAATTCCCCATATATTTTATCATACAGTCAATGTTGTTTTATTTTGATGGTTTGATTACATCATAATTCTTTACGTTCTGTTTGGCTCTATTGTATTGTTTGTTTTATTTTTGTTTCTTTGAAAAATTTTTAATTAAGCTATTCTCAACTCCGTTTTATCAATGCGTTTAATGCAAGATGAAGAGAGTCATTCATTGTTGGATTATGTCACAGATTGGCATGAAAGTAAATTGATATTCTATACATATATATATATATATATATACTTATATATATATGAATATATCTGTTATATATTTGTTAATATGACACCTTGTGTATTTCTATTTTTATAGCATTTATGTATATATATACACAATTGAAATCAATCAACCAATCATTGTTAGACTAGCATTAGATGAAATCTGGAAGCACTGAAAGACGTCTGTCTCGTGTTATGGTAAGGGACTCATCAGTGGCAGTGCGCATATACGACTCCTGCGATTCGCAGGATTCGAACCCATGGACCACTGAGCCAGGAGAAAACGGCAATCTGTCAGTACTTCCAAGTTTCCTATGGTGGTCTAACTATGGTTGTAAAAACACTAATCTCCATAAATCTAATTGAAAATATCGTAACAGTGCTTACTAGTGACTAGCTTTACAGGGAAATTCTCGGAGTTCTGGTGAGATGTGACCAATGGAGTTCAACCCTGTTGGGTGTAGGCAGTAGCTGCTAAAGACTAATGGGTGAGGTCGCGAAAAATCCCTAGATCAATCAGAGTTAGACATTAACACCGTTGGGTGCCGGTCCAGGGGTTAGGCGTTCGCGCACAACACCGAAGGTCCTGGGTTCGAGTCCTGCGAGATTCAGGAGTTGTGGATGCACACTGCTGATGAGTCTCATTCCAGGACGAATTGGCTATAATCAAAACCAATGATGTTATTTCGCATCATTTCTTAAAATGTTATTATAATTCTTGTCCATTATTCCTTTCGTTAATTGATATCATGTTGATAAAAGGTGATTACAGTTGCTGATCGTTAGAAAATATCCATAGGTGTGTTTTCAAAGAATCTCCTAAAAACCCTGAAATATTTAAATTCTTTGGAGGTAACCCATTATATTCTCTCCTTCAACTTAGTTTATAAACTATTAAAAAACTTGAAGTTTCTGCAAACTTCCGGTTAATGATAACCTATAAATACTTTACGCGATTTATTCTATCTTAAAGTAACTTTGATTGTCCAATTATACTTTTATGATCTACGTAGATACTTCAGTGCTGCTTATCTATGGTCACTATTTGGTATGCTTGAATGTTATTACGAGTTCACCTTAATCGGTAAACGGCAGCTTTTCTAATCTGTTTGTCCCCGGGCCCGACTAACTATATCATAAAGTCTTGATAATAAGGCGTAGAAAGTGTATTCTATAAGCACCCAGGAAATACGAGGTCCACAAGTACGCCAATCAAGCTTATTTATACAATGATAGCAACGCCCTTGGGTGAGCTACAAAAATAGTTAACTAAAATAATAACATCAACCAATCACAGTTAAGGATTTTCCGAGTGGCAAATGTAGGCTAAAGGTCAACTATGTGACTGTAGGGTTTGTCACTAAGTACGCTAGAAGCTATTACGAGTTCACCTTAGTCGATAAACGCGAACGAGACAATTACCAACGTCCAGATAGGCTACCTTGAATCACAAGCTGAAGTAAGAAGGCTTTGTAAGCGTAGTAAGTATATTCTCCAAACACCCAGCAATCACATTACAATCAAGCACAGAACTCTCGTTTATTCATATATCATAGAAACGTCCTTTGGACAGTTACGAAAATAGCACACTAAGATACACAGCAGCCAATCACAGCGATGGATGGGAAATGAAATTTCAAGGTCAACTGATCAGCCTATGCTCGCAAACGTGAAATTTAAAATAAGGCATTTAACAACGGAGTTGTGGGAATCTAACATCCCCAACAGTGACGTATGTTTAAAGAAACACAAAACATCCAAAGTTAGAACATTTTCGAAGTGAGTTCTAGGGATCTAACGTCCCCAACGGTACTGCAGTATGTAAAAATTCGATGATTAACGCAGATTTATTGATTACAAGAAACAATGACTGTTCAGCTTAAGTATTCCGTCTACCATTATAAAGTTCGCTGACAAGTCAATACTTGTACATTAAGATATTATCTGTCAGAATAGACAATCTGTGTTTTGGAAAATATTCTCTCGATTAAAAAGTAGGAAATTATTAAAACTCACAAGGCATTAATTTCAATTGAAACATATATTTATTAAAACAGATTTGATCTTCACTTACTTACTAAATAGTCAGCGTATTGATGAAATAAAAAGCCTTCTGTGTTTCTCATCATCCGGTCGTTGTTATAGTGACCAGTTATTTATTCATTGTTGTTTGTTTGTTTCCGTGTTTAGCCTCACCTTTTTTTTGGGCAAATAAGGTTGAAATAATTATGTAGAAAAAAAAATTTCAATCACTCTGATAATTTTCATTGATGAATATAAATGTTTATTGTTTTACAGATTGTGAAACACTTACAATGTTACCGGTCAATGAACATTTATTAGTTTATTTACAAAATTATGATGCTAATCAAGTAAGTTTTGTAAAAAAAATTTTTAAGCCTATTAAAAAGAATCTCATTGGTTAGTAGCGGTGATGTTCACGTACTTTTATTTTGTATGTGCTAGCTATACTACTCAATTGTAATCAGTAGTATGATTTTTACTCCAGCATTATTTATGGGTTGGGTGTGTGTACAAATCACTTACCTTATCCTCTTATGCTTTTATTTCCATGTTTTAGTTCATTTTTATACTTAAATCAGTATTTCCCATTATCGTTCTATTTCACGTTTACTTACTTCTCTTTGGAACACTTGTGTCAATTGTTCATAATGAGCAGATTTTTTTTAAATGACATTTATTAACTGTTAACTTTTTTTATACTTTCTGTAAACGTTTTCTACGGGTTAGAGTAGCCACTCACGTTCACAACCTTCCTCTTTTATCTTAGCTTGGGATCGGCAGTAGCTCCAGAAGGACTCCTGGGGGAGTTAATAAATGAATAAATAAGGTACATTTCCTAGAATACGCAATGTAACTAGAACTACATGTGTGTGTAGATCTTGTTAAGGTTTTCATTAACAAGGAGTGTTATGATTTCACAACTGAGCTTTTGTGTTATGCGGTTAGGGAGTTACTTCGTGAAATCACGAATCGATCAATGTTAGACCACTATTAGAAACCTGGAAGCACTGGGCAACCGTTTCGTCCTAGTGGCAGTGCGCATCTTAGATTCCTGCTACAAGCAGGATTCATACTGTTCGATGTTGCGCGTAAACCTCTAACCACTGGACCACTGACATGAAATCGAACACTGTTCATTTGTAATTTTGATCAATCCACGGTTTTCTCCAACCTCATTCACTGTCTTTCGTGAGCTCTCCTTGTTTTGTCATTCCAATGTTGTAGATCTATATGAGTGTTAGACTATCCATCAAATATCCTAAGAGAACTATTTTCGTTAGTCTAATTCTATTGATCAATTCCTGTTGGTCAATATTATGAACGTCTTAGCTATCAATGTCACTTCAAATGTTGTTTCCTATTGGTCATCCTAACTATCAATGTCACAGACTTCAACGTAGTTTCCTATTCGACCTAACTGTATAAATACGCATAATCTGTAACGTTTTATAACTCGGACCTGGATCCCTAGTCCGGGATCATGTTTCTCTTCTGGACTCGGACCTCGTACTTTCTGGATGCTTGTAGAATACATGTTCTATTTCATATCAAGTCTTCTTTTATTCGTTGGCGGTTTGGAACTATCTGATTAGATTAGTCTGTCGTGTTGCCGAATCCTCGATCTTCACTCTCATTTTCCGACTAAGTTAAACTCATAATAGTTCAAACATATCAAAATGACATGTTTACATGCATGTGTAACAGTGAATAATAACAGAATGGAAAAGTATTTTTTATAACAATTTTACTTATTTTTAAATGATCACTTGCTTATCATGCAATTTCTTCTTCTCCTTCTTTTCCTTACTCTTCATCAGGTAATCTATGCATTCTCTCGTCTACGATCAATTCTTTGTATTAAACCAGATTTATTTGTTCGTTCACTTGCTACATGTAAAATTAATTCATTTTATTCATGTAATTTATATGGTTTAAAATTCACTGAATTATTAACTAGACATCGTCGTTCAATGGCTGGTGGTAATTTTTTCACTGTTTCAACAACAGATGAATTAAATGCCGTTCAACATATGTATACAAATTTATTAGAATTATTGATTGATTTATGTTTACAATTTATGTGTAGTTATTTACCATTTATTACTACTACTACTACTACTACTACTACTAGTAGTAGTATGAATGGTACTGACCAATGTTCCATGCAATTTGCTCATCGATTTCATGGTTCAAAATGTTGTGAATTTAGTACAAATCAATTTGTACAGAATACAGCAACGGATATTTTGCGATTAATTGTTCAAGTAAGTAATTTATTTTATATGAAGAAACAAATGTAGTACTTATAATCATTATAATCATAATCATAATCATAATAAGTATTTGTGTTGTTGTTAGGATATTCACCAAATATCCTAAGAGTACTACTATTTTTGAAAGTATAATCCTATTGGTCGAAATTATGGTCGTTTTAACTGTCAAAGTCAATGTTGTCTCTGATTGGTCATCCGGACTGTCAATGTCATTTCAAATATTCTTTCCTATTGGTCGTCGTCCTAAACTGTCAATGTCACAGACTTTGATGCTCTTTAGTATTCGACCTAAATGTATAAATGCGCACTATCTGTAAGACTTCATGATTCCGATTCCGTTTCTTCCTGCCTACCTCTCTCTCTACTGTACTCGACCCAATAAACAACTCCATCCAACGGACTGAATAGCTATACGTTGCAGCGTTACAACAGTTGTACAGTGAAATATCAACTGAAATCATTGAAATCAAGTTCAGGAACCAATAAACTGATCATTCTACTATACATAGAAGACATATCGGAACATACAGCATGATGACTACTGAAATCATTTGAAATAGGTGTGTAGCACATAAAACCAAACAGAATCACTTCAGTCAATCCTATGTAGACCAAAAAGGACAAAATGGCAAAGGAAGAAAATCCGAATAGGACAAAGCGGACGTTCTCTTCAGCTTCGTTGGCGTGAACATCAATTCACAGTGAGATATCATGACATTTCTTCCCTTATTTATATCAATACAAACGGACAGCTATGGACAGTCGTACTATTGGAACAATGTAGAAATACTGGGTAGGAGGGGAGTACAAAGAGCATTAGAGAATTTTTAGAAGCTTGGCACACTCAGGTCAATCAGCATTCAACAAACACATGGACATTGATCCAATTTATCAACTAATCAGAATAATCATAGGCGATATAGGATCAAGAAATATATTTAGACGATCAGAGAACAATCAATACAAATTTAAGCATGCTATACCTGGTAAAACATACACGTAAACCTTGGTATAAAGGGTCACCTGAAATATTTATGCGCTGCACAAGTTATTGAATCATCGACTCGACTGGAATCCTACCCAACTGTTCAAACTAAAAGAAATCATTTTCCTAGAATGTCATTCTCAAAGCCTTTGACTCAAAAGTTTAATTCACAAGGTAATGGTGCAATGTGAAGAGATGCAGTCCCATGATAGTCAATGACCAATAATAGGTTCATACACTATTTGTTGTTTCAAAATCCTGTAGCCTATATGAGCTACTACTGGTTTGGAATTAGGATCTCCCGATTCTGAATCCTCTTCATTTACCAATGACGTTTAAGCTGTGACCAGATATTCACCTTTCGTCCTTTCACGAGAAAGTAGTGAATAGGACTTCCCTGTCAGAGGCTGTACATACGTGGCCATATGAGATCATTTAGAGAGAGAAAGCGGACTGGTCTTTACTCTTAACATTAGTCTTTCTCAAGCTCTGATATACTTAGCTTTGAGTCACAGTTTTAACTGAAGAATGCTAATTTAAACATTACGTACTGTTTTATTATACTCTACTTACTTACACCTGTTACTCCTCGGACCAGTGAACTATTTTTTTCCCTGGCTAGCGTTTTTTATATATTTAACGAGTTGGATTTCTACGGGATGGAGTTGCTAACCCTGATACCCAACGCTCCTCCTTTATTCGAACTTGAGAGCGGTAGTAACTCTAGAAGGTTTCTAGGTGCAGTTAGTGTTCTATTATTTTTTAGAGTTGCACCTGACTATAGACAGACAGATAGATACAACGCAGAACTTCGTACGTACGTACATCAGTTCAGGTCGCCATACCACATCTGCACAGAGACACAACTGTCATTTCAAATCCAACAGTGATAGCAATAATAGAAGTATTAGCAGTAATGGAGAAGATTAGGGAGCGAAGATATAATTCGGGAAGTATTATTCAGTAAGATAAATTTAAAAGGAGAAAGGTAGAGATTATGAGGAATGCAGTAGCTTAAAATTTCATAGAACACAAAGAGCACCTGACTGTTGTAATCGGAAAAGTTATTTTCAATGTTGACTTGATTCTATTATTGTTACTATTAAATACTACCATTCATTTGTAAGCTGAATACAATATTTTTTTCCCTATCTGTTTAGCAATTAGTATGTATACAAGATGAATGTTTCAATTCTCCACTGATCAATTCAACGCTGAAAACCAACTCTAATGTATCGAATGTGAAGAATTCTTCTTCTAGTGCTCGACTATCAGAAATATCCTTAACATCATCATCGTCATCATCAGTACTGTATTCTACAGGATTGACAAATTCCAACAATGTTCCACCAAATACCATAACATTTACATCTATGATACAACAAGCTAATGGACGTCGTCTTGTACAAACTACCTTGTATCATACATGTTTAACATCTGCTGTGTTACATTGTCTAGCATCTTGTATGATTAAAGTACATTGGCCTAAATATGATAAAAATTGGTCAGATTATTCACAACCAAATGGAATCAAGTAAGATCTGTGTTCATTATTCATTGTTATAGTGTAATAAATATGTTGGGGATGTTCGATCCCCAGAACTCGCTTGATAAATGCCTTATTTTGGTTTTCACGTTTGCCAGCATGGGCTGATCAGTTGATCTTGAGATTTCATTTCCCATTCATGGCTGTGATTGGCTGCTGTGTATTTCAGTGTGCTATTTTCTTAACTGTCTCATGGACGTTTCTATGATGTATAAATAAACGAGAGTTCTGTGCTTGATTGTACTGTGATTGCTGGGTGTTTGTAGAATTTATTTTCTACGCTTACAAAGCCTTTTATCTCCAGCTTGGGATTCGAGGTAGCCTACCTGGACGCTGGTAATTGTCTCGTTCGCGTTTATCGACTAAGGTGAACTCGTAATAGCCTCAAGCATACATAGTAAGGAGCGTAACAAAATATACTGTTTTATTGATATTCTGTGTTTAAAATAGGCTTTCCCGTTTGATTTGAAAGTGCCAGACCGTTTGTAGCTTATTTATCAAATAGAAATTTGTTCAACATTTATGAATGGTAGATTGATATTTGTAAGGGAATGTAAACAACGATTGGTTTTATTTTGAAGCAACAATAAACGTTGCTGTCTACTGAATTACGCTACAACAGTCTCATTTCTCAGGAACCACTTTTATGCATATTCACGCTTCACTTATCTTGGGAGTCTCGCCAGTGTTGATGAGACCTGGTGTCTGACGAAATCTCAGCACGGATACGGAAAGCTGGACTAGCTTTTGTCAGCATTCGTCAATTATATCGTGGTTGGGATATCCGTCTGTGAATCGAAGGACGAGTTTACTACGCATTAGTTCTCTCCGTCCTACTATATGGCTGTGAAACATTACTTGTATATCCTGGGACCACAGTCAGCACTGTTGTTGTTAAGAAATGGGACTTAGTTAAGGATAGCAAATCAATTGATGAAGTAGTGAATGTTCATCAATTTAGTAGAAGGTTGACATATGTGTTATGTATGCTTTACCACCGATTACCTCGACCAACGATGTTGGAAGAAAGCTAGAGGTGGTCAAACTAAAACATGGCACAAATCCATGAAGTCACTGACTAGTGAACAGAACCCTGTTAGTAGGTGTAGACCAACTGATTGGCATCCGCTAGCCGATACTAACCAATCGTTAGAGACATTGAAAATTGTTTGCAATGGCGCAGGTCAGTCAGTCACAACTTAGAACTTTTTACGTACGTACATCATTTCAAGTTGTCATATCACATTAGCACAGAGACGCAGGTGCATCCATTCTTTGTGTTCTCTCAAATTCTAATCTTCGGAATTCCTCCTGTGAGATTTACTTCTCAATTGATTTCTTTGATCCCTAATCTTTTTGATTACCACTAATACTTCTACTACGTCTACGACTATGGGATTTGAATTGTTAATTTGATCTCTATGTGCTAATGTGGTGTAGCGACTTGAACTAACATACGTACGTACGTGCGTGTGTGCGTTCGTAGTTCTACGTTAAAGCTGACTGACTAAGTCTTGTAATTGTTGTATTAGTACCTTGTATTTATTATTATTAATGTTATTATTACTTTTCTCTATAAAGAAAACTTCCAACATGTTTACAATTAATTCTGGTCAATGATCTATTAGCCAATTTACCGAATTCATTTTACACAACACAATTACAATCTCTGCTGCATTTATTCAATGTTATTCTTCATTTAAAACCATGGTATGGTTATGCTGATCGTTTAACATTAATGAAATATTATCAACTATACCCACCACCACAACAGAATAATAACACACAAACCACCACCACCACTAACACCACTACTAACACTACATTGATGGAATTATCCAGCTCAAATGTATTATGGCCTATACGATGGTCAAATACACTGCTACTATCACCTTCTGCCTCCTCCTCCTCATCAGTATCATTGTCCCCGATGGCCAATCATGATGACACAATGACCAATACTGATGTATTGTCACTTATATCTTATTATATGAATGATATATGGTTGAAAGCTTTCAATAAATTACCAACTACTACTACTACTTCCATGCCTACATTGAATAATGAATTATCTATATTTCGTTTAAATTGTCTCACTATATTGTATTCATCGAATACCACTAGTAATAGACCAAATGTAAATGTGATTGAAAAAGATCAAGTGAATTTATTCATGGAATTATTATCGATTGGATTATCCTCACCATCGCCCTCCCCATCACTGTCGTCGTCGTTGTCCTCATCAACGAGTCATCAGTTGAATTTTTTCACTGCTCGTTTAGATTTACATTCATTATGGTATCATTTTATATTTCATAGTTTATCTTATTGGGGTTGGTTCATTGGAACATTGATTCGTGTGACGATTAAACAAATTTGTTCCAGTATAAATAAACTATGCAATCGATTTTTTCTTTGTGTTATACAAAATAATAGCACTATGATTAGGTGAGTTTTAATGTGTTGAAACATTTTTTTAATTCATTTGATATTTTTTTAAGGATATTTTTGATTCGTCTATGAATTTTGTTTGTAATCTCGACTGAAGATCGCCTTTTGTGGCATACAGCTTGTTGGGGATGTTAGATCCTCCAGAAGTCGCTTGATAAATATGCCTTATTTTGGATTTCACGTTTGCCAGCATGGGCTGATCAGTTGACCTTGAGATTTCATTTCTCACCAGGATAATCCATGGCTGTGTGATTGGCTGCTGTGTATTTTAGTGTGCTATTTTCGTAACTGTCCCAAGGACGTTTCTATGATGTATAAATAAACTAGAGTTATGTGCTTGATTGTACTGTGATTGCTGGGTGTTTGTAGAGTGTTTTTTCTACGCTTACAAAGCCTTCTATCTTCAGCTTGGGACTCGAGGTAGTCTATATGGACGCTGGTTCATTGTGTCGTTCGCTTTTATCAACTAATGTGAACTCGTAATAGCTTCAAGCGTATTTAGTGACGAACATATCAAGCTGGATGATTAGGGCAACTCGGTTAGCCTAATGTGAACGGTCGGCGCTGATCGGACTAATCAATTACTCCAAATCATTTTAAGAGAGTCCTTGAGGTTTGTAAATTAAAACCTCGCTGAGACAACCTGATGTGTATGTTTGCACGTATGAATTTTGCGTGGGTAAAGAGTACGCCTGTAGATTCCCAAAAACAAGATTTAGCTAGAAATTCTTCCCTATAAGCAACTAGGAATTAGATTGTATATGCTTATATGTATGTTTTGAAATACTTAAGCGAAAGCTTACGTACCGACGATATGCATGGTAAATACTAACAGATACGTTTATAGAGGTGGCGACTATCTACTTTCTCAGGGGGAGGGCAGTTCTACCTGCAGATGCTGGTTGTCCGAAGGAAACACCTTACTGCTATCACACTCCTACAGTCAAGCATGACTTCGCCCTTAGGCCTTGAGTTGCTGCTTTTAGTCTTACCATGCTACGGTCGACCTGCCTGGCTTGATAGTAACATATATTCTAGCCGATATAGCTCGATTGGGTCATCACGATAGGCTAGCCCGACCACCACGTCAAAGTTGCGCAGTTACGGTCGGTAAAGATGAAGTATTGTGAATGACAGTCAAATTGTCCTCCATTCACTGTGGTATATTAGAAGGAGTAAAAGGAATTCGGTTGTGACCAATACGGTTTCGTATGCCTTTACGGGTTTGAGGGCGGACGTTACTTCCCGGCTGCCCACACTGTGGAAGGGCTCTTGGCTGTCTGATGGGGCATCGGCTTAGTGACTACCGAAGGAAGTCGGCTTTCATCATAAGACGTCATAACTCTTGTAACTGAAAGCCTTCTAACTCCCAGGGTGCACTTTAAATGTTTTGAATCAGTTGTTTTGATTAGCGGTTTTTTAGCGAGTTGATTTTCTACGGGATTGGGTCTCCGACCTCATTCTCAACCCTCCTCTTTTTTCCGGACTTGGGACCGACAGTAACTCCGGAAGGTCTACAGGTGGTGGTATATATATATACATTATTTGTGCATTTTGACACTAACTACACTTACATAACCCGCCTTTTCTTTAATTTCTCTCTGTTCCTCTCTCTCTATTCTTCATAGATCACAATTATCAACTACAAATGAATGGGATTATTTACCACCTGATTATACATTAAATATATTAGCTTTAATACAAGGCATTTGTCATGCATTTCTTCTCTCTGTTGGCAATACACCTTTACCACTTCTACCTACATCATCACGTAAAGCGAATTCATTGCACCAACCAACTAGCACATTATTACGTCCTCTTACTATTAATAATCATAATACTACTAATAATAATAATCCACCAACAGTAAGTCAACTCACTGGTCTACCTGATTCATTAGAAGGTGTTGTAGAAATTGCTGAAATTCTCTATCGTCATAAATTGAATCCACCGAATTCAACTGGATCATCATCTATTATGCCAACAGAAGTGAATAATAATAGTAATAATACTAGTAATAATAATATTGTGCCAGCATTTGATCCGTTATTTCCATCACCATTAACAGAGAATGTTGATCTTGGTTCTACTATGCCTATGAATAGTAGTAATTCATCATCTATCGACAATAATCATATGTCAGATATGGAACCATCCGTAATTTTAACTTCACGTATAGAAGAAGATAAATTGTCAAGTAAAGATTGTTCAAATCAATCGCCAAATCCTACTGTGATCTTTTTGAATCGTGTAAAAGTAAGTTGAATGTTTTTGTACAAAACTGTAGATTAATCAAACTTCGACATCTAGACCGTTGGATGCTGGCTCACTGGCTCAGAGGTTAAACGTTCGTGCGCTCGCAAGACTGAAGCCGTTGGGTTCCATTCCTGAGAGTAGCGGGAGTTGTGGGTGCGCGCTGCCACTGATGAGTCCCAGGCCAGGACGAAACCTCTGCCCAGTGCTTCCAGATTTCTAATGTTTGTCTAATATTGATCGATTCAAGTTTTCAACATTTCAATCTTTCATGCTGACTGTCGTTTACTGAAATGACCAAATAATTTCAAACATTTCTTTTTGTACAACTGAGTAGTAGTTTTCGTAATATGAATTCATTTTTGAATTGGCCTACTGAATGTTTAAATTGACATCTATCATAAAAAATATCGATCTGCTTTGTCTTCTGAATGGAAAGTCTCTCGCGGACTATATATACATATATATAACGATTGAATTACTAATCAGTCAGTCAGATGCAACGTGGAACTTAGTACGTAAGTACATCAGTTCATGTTGCCATACCACATCAGCACAGAGATGCAATTGTCAATTCAAATACAATAGTACTAGAGGTAGTAAAGGTATTAGAAGTAATTGGAGAGGTTAGGATTAGAAGATATTATTCAAGAAGTATGATTCAGTGAGAAACGTTTAGAAAGTCAAAACTAGAGGTGTTGAATAATCCAGAAGGTTAGGATTTGAGAGAACACAAGGCGTGAATGCATCGGCGCCATCGCAAACGATTTTGAGCCATGTCATTCAAGGTCTCTAACCATCGATTATTATCAGCTCGCGGACCCCAACCAGGTAGTCGACACCTAACAACATGACTCAGTCCACTTGTCAATGACTTCATGGATTTGTGCCATGTTTTGGTCTGGTCGCCCCTAACTTTCATCCGACTTATCCCTACACCGCGAAAAATCGCTCGACGAGGAAGTCGGTGGTTAGGCAAACGCAGCACATGTCCCAACCACCTCAACTGATGAAGTTCCAGCACTTCATGTATTGATCTGCCATCCTTACTTAGTACTCGTTTATTAACAACAGCATTGCTTATTCGGCTGTTCCATGATATGCGAGCAATGTTTCGACGACATCTAAGTCAACAAGCGATTTTCAAACAGATAGCCTGTATAAGGTTAATTTACTTTTTTGGCACACATTTTAATGACAGACACTGCTGCCATAGAACCTCTCAATCAGCGGAGTTGAATGCCGTTTTAAGGTCGAGAACTACTATTAATTATTATGGGTCGTCTGATCGTATGTCTTTGTTGTATGTAGTACCTGCCGTAGTGTGAACATTTTGTCAACAGTACGGATCCCTATCTTTGTCATTACATGATTTTACATGTCAAATTCACGATTTTAAATAAATTACCTGTTAGTTCGACATCACCTATTGTTTTTAAACTGTGGTGTACAAATGAAACTAATCAAGAATGTTGATTTTTTGGTAATATCCATCAGTCTGAACTATTTTAATTGTTTTTTTTTCTGAAAATGCCAATATATATAATTCTTTTTTTTTTCTATTTAGAATTCTCAAAATGTCAATATTAAAGATGATATATTAAATCCAGAATTACATCCATATGTACAAGCACAATTTGAATTATTACGTTTAATGCCTGAGATCGTTTCAAGTATTTCACTTTTATGGAATACATTGAATCAATCAACTTCCAGTTTATTAACTACTAAAAGAAATTTTTACAAATCTAATCATTTTTATCAAGGTTAGAAATATGTTTTAGTAATGAGTATTTGTTTTTATTGTATGCATATATATACATATTCAGTCGGAACTCCATATGGATCGCTTCTCTGGGGCTGTTTCCGGTCCCAAGCCTGAATAAAGGAGAAGGATTGGGTCATGGGGTTGGCAATCCCATCCTGTAGAGAAATAACTACTCGCTTAAATATATACTCTGACCAAAACAAATGATTCAAGCCATTTAACCTTTGCCCTAGGGATTGAAAGGTTTTCATTGAAAAAAGAGTTATCACGCCTCATGCTGAGAACCTAGTTTTTTGTCGGAAGTAACGTCGTGTCTGATTCCCTTTTCTCACAACCAAAGCAACGTAGATACGTGAAAAGTTCGCATAATTTTGCAGATGAGCAGAATCAATCAATTTGTTGAATATTTATATATTTATGGCATTAATTAATCATATTTAACCTGTATATAACCGAAGGGAAAGAAAGCAACGAAATACTGTCAGTGAATACATCAGCCTAAAATGATTGTTTAGTTTTTTATATCCATTATAGTCGAACTACTGAAAAATAGTAAGTAGTATCGTGCAACATACAAAAGTAATAAGTATCCCGAGATGTGATCGAGTTATTCTATGTTTCTGTTAGCTTTGTCTATAGTTATTTTGTAGCTTAAATAATAAAAATTATTGGAGATTATCAAGCAATTCACATTGATAACACTTGTTTATTCAGTTATCATTTAAAAACCACTCATCCTTTATTTTCCTCTACAGACAAAGAACAGTGCCCATTGTTAAATACACCTATTCCACCTGAGAATTTGTCTTCAATAATTAGTCTTGGTTCACCTACTCTTGTTCGTGGAGCTATTCGTCGATTATTAAAGCCTATTGCAGCACAACATCCAGATCTTGTGCTGATAACAACCGCTGTAGCTTGGCCCAATACAACGTTTGATATTGAAACTGGTGGTCTAATGGCTGGAGTTGATTCACTCGCTAACTATGGTCCATTGGATATGCTTATACCTGTACGAACAAAAAGCGATTATGGTAATTCAGGTAAGAAAATCAAATATGCGTTATGTTTTTATTGCTATCATGTTATGGTGCACACAGTTAACATGGAATCTATTCGTGAAATTTTTATTCAAAGATAGAAATTGAATCTAGTTGCTTCAGTCGTACTTGTGAACACTTAACCTCTGAACAACTGAGCTGCCATCCAAGATTGTTACTGTTTAACTTTGATCAATGCACTAACTCAGTTAACCTCACCCATGCCTCACATCCGGGCATGGTTGAACTCCATTAGTCGTGAATTTGGGCTAAACCTCCGAGAAAATTCCTCACGGAGCCTGACGGTGGAGTAGTCGAAGTTTGACATTAACACCATTAGATGCCGGCTACTGGATTTGACTCCTGCGGGTAGTGGCAGTCATGAATGCCCACTACTGATGAGTATAATTCCAGGAAGAAACGGCGATCCGGTGCTTCCAGGTTTCTAATGATAATGAACATTGATCTATTCATGATGAGTAAAAGATAATAATAACCGATCACAGTTTAAAAAGTGCAAAAATCAAATCAAATTTGGACATCTCTTTTCTATACGCATAGTTCGGGTTTGAATCGGTGGGTCGCTAACACCTGATCAAATGCTCTTGTATTGAATTAATGATAACTTTGCATTCCTCTTATAAAAGCCAAACGGGTTAATGTTTCTAATTTGCGTTTAGAAAATGATCGCTTTGTGCGGCCAATGTAACCTACCCTCATAGAAACAAGTAAGTTTATAAATGCACGTCATTGTGACTCACAAAGAGAAAGTTTATCCGTCACTCGTAGACTGATTTGAATAGTTTGGTCGCGGGTGCTGTTAGGAGTATGAGTGCCGATGTCACTTCCCAGCTGCCCATATCGCTGCAGATGCTGTTTGTCTGAGAGAAACGCCTTACTGCTGTCACACCCCTCTACAGTAGTCAGCAGTACGACTTCGCCCTCAGACCTTGAGTAGCTGCTTTTAGTCTCATCATTCTCCAATCGACCTGCCTGGCATGGTAGAACTTAAACGAACATATATTCTAGGCAGTATAACTCACACACACTACGAAAAGCACCTAATTGCGTCACGAGACAAGCCCTCACAGGGAACCCTCAAGGTTGAAGGAAAAGGGGAAGGCCAAAGAATACATTACGCCGAGAAATAGAGAAAGATATGAGAGGAATGAACAAACATTGGACAGAACTGGAAAAGGAAGCCCAGGACTGAATTGGTTGGAGAAAACTGATTGGCTGCCTATGCTCCATTGGGGGTAACAGGCGTAAGTAAGTAAGTAATATAACTCAGTTGGGTCATCACGATAGGCAAGCTTGATCACCACATCAAAGTAGCATCTACGGTCTGGCGACTGACTAACTTGAGAAGCTTACCTAATTATTTATTTTTGTATATACATTCAAGGATTTGTTTCAACATCGCTTCTATTATCGATTTCTTGTTGATTTCATTTATCTGTTTACATTCATATTTTCCTCTCTCTTTCCGTTTTTTGGTGTAGAATTCTACTCCATTCCATTACATCAAAAACAATTGAGTTTGTTAGATTTAATCACTGGTCGTACATATGATGATAGAAATTATGGTCCAATTTTATCAGCCACTGTATTAATTCATCATTTACGTGATTCTATACGTCGTCCATTGAATAGTATTAATAATAATTCATTGTTGGCACCAATAATCCATAGCAGTAGCAGTAGCAGTAGTAGTAGTAGCAGTGTACAGTCTGGATGTAATCCCACTCCCTTATTTTCACCAGTTGGTTCTTTTACGCCAACACAAGAATTCATGCCTACACCAATATCAATGTCATTGAATGAATGTAAAACTGTTGTGGTTAGTTAGTTGTTTATAAACAATATATTTTGTATTGATTGCTCTTTTTTTTAATGATTTGACTTAATAAAAAGAAGGAATGTTATTGGTTCTTTGTGTGTGTGTGTGTGTGTGTGTGGATGTTGCGCATGCACGTGTGTAAACACGTCAATTTGATATGCTTGAGTTGTTACGAGTTGTTTACCTTGGTCGGAAAACGAGAGCAAGGATCCGGTGATACGACAGGCTACTCTAATCTGAGTGTCAAAACACAACCCCCCCCCCAATGAGTAAAAGAAAAAGACTTGATATAGAGTAGGACGTGTATGCCACAAGCATCCAGAAAGTACGAGGTCCGAATCCAGAAAAGAATCAGGACTCCGGACTAAGGATCTGGGTCATAAAACGTTACAGATAATGCGTATTTATACAGTTAGGTTGCATAAGAAACAGCATTAAAGTCTGTGACATCGACAGTTAAGGCGACCAATAGGAAACAACGTTTGAAGTGACGTTGATAGTCAGAAGGATTAATGGGAGACAGCATTGCAGTATGTGACATTGATAGCTAGGACGATCATAATATCGACCGATAGGAAATCGACCAAAGACATTCAAAAATAATTCTCTGAGGATATTTGGTGAATATCCTAACAGTGTGTGTGTGTTGTTTTTTGTTGAGAACACTTTTATACTACTGATTTAGTAGTCAAATAGTATCAATCATGTTATTATTATTATTTTTTTTATTTTTTGTTTTATGAGACATGTTCAAAAAACATACTCACTGACTGAGAATTTTCACAGTTCAGTTAGTCAGCTACAGTGTAGATCTTCGTACATACGTGCAATCGGTTCAAGTTACCGTGCCACATTAGCATACAGAGAGATTGAATTGTCAATTTAAATCGCATAGCAGTAGAAGTATCAGTAGTAATCGCAGAGATTAAGGTTCGAAGATATTATTCAAGAAATATAACACTGTGAATTAAATTTAAGAAGAGAAAGATGAATGTGATGACAAACTCTGAAGGTTAGGATTTGAGAGAACACAACGAATGAAGGCGCCTGTGCCATGGCATTCAACCATCGGTTACCATCGTCTCGCTGACCCCAACTAGGTAGTCGACACCTACCAACATGACTCAGTCCACTTGCCAGTGGCTTCATAGAGTTGTGCCATGTTTTGGTTTCGTATAATCTCGTGAAATAAGTTCAAGAGAAAGATAGATGAAGGTCGATGTCTCCGAGAGCGAAAGTCGACTGACCACCAACCGTTTCAATCCATGATATTACTCTAGCACCATCCATTGTAACTAACTACCTTACACAATCGACACGGGTAAACTCCACCGGTGATCATCACTACTTCTCACTAGAACTATGAGAATTTCCTCAAATAGCTATTAGTCACTAGCTCACTACTAGAGCACACATAATAAATACGAATTCTCTTTTCTAATTTAAATAAAATAGAGTTCGCATCAAGCTGGGTTGCCTCTTCTACTGTCCTACGCCATATATAGTGTACACCATATACCATGCTGCTACATAAAACTGAAAGTCTCCTATGAGACTAGAGGTTTGCTGTGAACATGGTGAATGTTTTGGCATTGTTTTGGCAAACATTGCTAACAGTCCATATACAAATTTAATTTGCAAGATGACCGATTGTTGTTGTGTTACAACATTCCCGACGGTCATTGTCATTAGGACGTGCTGTATTGCATATTACCATTGTTAATAATATTAATGAGTTTGACAGGCATGTAAGCGGTATGAATCAAAATGGCCTGTTCATGCGGTGCATATTGATAGACGCCATAATGAATCGAAAATAATCACTATAAATATGTACCACGGTATGGGCAGTCTAGACTGAACTGATGTTTGTACGCAAAACGTTCTATGTTGTAGCTGACTGACTGATATATGTACTAGTGTATATAAATCGTGCGAATAGTCCGCCAGAGTGTCAGGTACGCCTGCATGATGGTTGCGCCACAGGATTGAGCCGTACTGTCCATTTCGAAATACTAACACGTAAGCACTGTCCTTGGTTCTCCTAGGAACCAGTGTTAACTAGCCAGTGACAATACATGAAGTGCTGGAACTTCATCAGTTGAGGTGGTTGGGACATGTGCTGCGTTTGCCTAACCACCGACTTCCTCGTCGAGCGATTTTTCGCGGTGTAGGAACAGGTTGGAAGAAAGGTAGGGGCGGCCAAACCAAAACATGGCACAAATCCATGAAGTCATTGACAAGTGAACTGAGTCATGTTGGTAGTTGTAGACTACCTGGTTGGTGTCCGCGAGGTGATAATAATCGATGGTTAGAGACCCTGAATGACATGACTCAAAATCGTTCGCAATGGCGCCAGTGCATTTATTCTCTGTGTTCTCTCAAATGCTAATCTTCTGGATTCTTCAACACCTCTAGTTTCGACTCTCCAAACTTTTCTCACTGAATCATACTTCTTGACTACTATCTTCGAACCCTAATCTCTCCGATTACTGCTAATACTTTTACTACATCTACTACTATGGGATTTGAAGTGACAATTACATCTCTCTGTGTGCTGATGTGTGGTATGGTAACATGAACTGATGTACATACGTGCGTACGAAGTTCTACTTTGCATCTGAATTACAATATAGACGGTTAATTTATTCATATAATAATAATGATTAATTGTAAATTTATTCACTCATAACTTTTTATTGCATTTTTTTTTTTTTTTACTTCAATAGTCAAATATCAGCAATATCAATAATACCAATACAAATACAAATAATGGATTAAATTTAATTCGTTTACAAATTAATTTACTACATTTATTCTATGCATGGCTTATTATAGCGAAAACAGATTTTATTTCATCAGATTTATTATTAATTTTAATCAAAGATTTAATCATGAATATGCCAACAATGTTAAATTATAATTCTACCGCTTTAATGAATATTATCACAACAAACACAGGATTAGGTTTAACACCAGCGGCAATATTTATTCTTATCAAGTATGTTAGTTACATGAATACTCTGTTTCTTGTTTTGTTTTGTTTTATTTTCTGTTTAAAATGTTCAATTATTATTGAGGTGTGTTTGTGTTATGCCTGCACGTAAAAACACGTCAACTTGATATATACTTGAACTATTACGAGTTTACCCAGTCGCAAACACGAGAGTGAGGATCTGGTGGCACGACATGCTACTCAAATCCGATTATCACAACCCCCATATTTAGTAAAAAAATAAGAAGACATAATATGAAGTAGAACGTGTATTCTACAAGCATCCAGGAAGTACAAGGTCTGAATCCAGAAGAGAATCAGGATCCGCGACCGTGTCCTGATCCAGATAATGCGTATTTATACATTTTGGTCGAATAGGAAACAGCATCAAAGTCTGTGACATTGACAATTAGGACCACCAATAGCAAGTAACATTTGAAGTGACATTGATAGTCCGGATGACCAATAAGAGACAACATTGAAGTATTTGACTTTGACAGTTAAAACGACCATAATTTTGACCAATAAAAATCGACCAATTATTCTCTTAGGATATTGGATCAATATCCTAACAGTTTGTTTGTTCATTATTGTTCAATGTTTTTTTTTAAAAATGGATTTTATATTTGAACTTGTTTGCTTCTCCATAGACAGAATTATACCATGTAGTTTCGTTTATGCACAGTTTAGTCAGCTAGCTAGCTACAATGTGTAGAACTTCGTATGTACGTACATACATAAGTGTAGGTTGCCATACCACATTAGTTCATAGATACGCAACTGTCACTTCAAATCCCATAGTAGTAGAGGTAGTAAAAGTATTAGCAGTAATCGGAGAGATTAGGATTTGAACATAATATTCAAGTATAATCGAGTGACATAAATTTAGAAAGACAATGGTGTAGAGGTGATGAGGAATTCGGAAGGTTAGAATTAGAGAGAACACAAAGAGTAGATGCACTTGCGCCATTGCAAACGATTTTGAGCCATGTCGTTCAAGGTCTCTAATCATCGGCTCGTATCGTCTCGCGGACCCCAACCAGATAGCCTACATCTACCAACATGACTCAGTCCACTTGTCACTGTGACTTTATGGATTTCTGTCATATTTCGATTTGGCCGCCTCCCAACCTACTCTTATTTTCTTAGTCACTTACTACTTATAAGTAGAATTATTGATTCTCTCTCTCTCTCTTTCTCCTTTATTTGCATTATTTTTCCTTCTGTAGAATCTTTGGTAAATTTTTAGAAACAGCTAGTTCAAGCGATGATAAACGAGAACAAAAAGAATTACAGGTATGTGTTGTGGCTTTTTATTTTTCAATCTGATATGCAAAACGTATACAATGTTTTAATTCATGTTCTCTTAGTAGAGTTGTGTAAACAATGAAAGTGAACACTGTCACCAACTGTAACGATGCGAATCCCGTTACTGTGTAATGACTTATTATTTATAATAATTCTTATCAGCAGGAGTTTGATCCGATACAATCGATTCTTTACGTAAGTATAAAGAGAAAGAACTAGAAAGACCATGTTATTCATAGAGTACATTCAATGTCAGTGTATTGTTCTGTTTTCTTTTTAAAACTGGATGAGGTTTAGTAGTTTCAGTTAACTTGAAAACTTATCGCTTATGTGATATAATGATCTCAAGTCAGTTGTATGCTGTTATGGGTGTGAGAGCGGATGTCACTTCCTGGTTCCTCATACCGTGAAAAGGTATTTCTTTTTAGAAACCTGAAAAGCAAGTTAGACGAACGTTGATCTTACTGACCTGGGGCGTAGTTGCTGTGCCCAGGGAACAATTGTTTGAGGCCGGTCACGCACGGCATCTTTATGGGACGTGTTTAGAAGTGTGGCCTTGTAGTGTGTCGATTTACTGCGTGTTCTTAAGCTCGGTAATTAACTCGTTCAGACAATCGTTGCCAAATAGCGTCTGACGGTTGATAAATCAGAAGATGAACACAAAGTGATGAATACGTTTATTCGGGACACACCACAAAGCGAAGCGGAGAAGCAGTGAATAAAACGAATGAAGCGACGTGAACTGGAGAAGGCTTTTGAGCCAACTCCATGGGTTACAATGCGAACGAATGGGCGAAGCGAATTGGAGAAGGCTAATGAGCCAACTCAAAGAGATAGAACGTGACTAAGAATATATAGTCAGACAAAAATAAGGCAGACATATGACAAGCGAAATAGGCGTGCACACACATGAATAAAAGCGACGAGTGATTGACAAGGTCAAATGACAAGTGGGACATGTCATGTGAGCTCATACAAACCAGACAATAATAAGAACGAATGGTACTTATAAATTGTTGCTTGGTTAAATAAATTAATCGAAAGGGCTTAACCAAGTTAGATGTAAGCGAACTGGAATATATGTGGAGGCACTACAGCCTTACAGCCGAGACAGAAATCCTTCGGATAAGTTGAGGTGTGACATTTTTACGGTCGATCTTTTCTAACCTTTTCCATCCTTGTGAAAAGGTAGCATCGCTGTAGAAACTGGTTGTCCGAGAGAAACACCTTATTGCTGTCACACCCCTCTGGAGTAGTTGTGAGCAGTATGACTTCGCCCTCAGAACTTAAGTTGTTACTTTTAGTCTCATCGTTCTCCAATCGACCTGCCTGGCATGACAGTAACATATATTCCAGCCGATATAGCTCGGTTGGATCATCATGATAGGCAAGCTGGACCACCACGTGTCAAGGTAGCAGCTACAGTCGTGTTCTAAATTCAACTCTTCAGGTGTTAGATTTCTAAGGTAGAATGCTTTTCGTTTTGTAAAAATTATTGATGAAATTATGTTATGAACATGTCCACTATAGCATGTAGCTGCATTCCATATAGAAAACACATATATATAATAGCCATTATAACACTCACTGTTATTCTCGTCTCTAGGTATGCTTAAAACATATACGGGTTCATCTAGTTGAATTACGAGACGATGAACCAGCGTCCACGTAGGCTACTGTGATCCGATTGTCCTAATTGTACCAGCAAGAAGTCTTGATATTGGCGTAGAAAGTGTATTCTACAAGCACCCAACCAGCACACACAATCAATCCAATCACTCAAATTGTGTTTATTTAAACTCCATAGAAATATATCCTTGCGACAGTCACAAAAATAGCTCACTAAAATAACACAGTAACTAATCACAGCCAATGATTTTCCTGGTGGGAAATGTGATCTCAAGGTCAACTGATCAGTCTATAAAATGAATCCAAAATAAAGATATTTATATCAAGCGAGTTCTGATGATCCAACATCCTCAACACTCACAATGAAAATTATTCTCAAACAGACAGCGTTTACCTGCTAATCAAATCTCCTGAGTATGACACAGCTAACGTTGTGTACAATATCACCATTAATCTTTATTGGTTCATTATTAAGTGTTAACAGTCCATTCTTCTGTCTAACCAACCATTTTATAAATTTTGTTAAGACGTAATTGATCTGAAAAAAAAGTTGTGATTTATTTGCGTGCTATGTAGATTTCGAATAGTCTGGTCATACACACACATGTACACTTAACTTGTCAAGGCATTTTTTCCAGTCTGAAAATTTAACAGAAGGTCAATTGTCAACTTAAAGGTCAAATAGACGACATAGGGTGAGAAAATCCACGTGATACAGAAAGGGTAGGAAATGTTCACATTACCCTCTAGGCCTTAAAAATTACCAAGATAAATTCCAGGTTTCTGTACATATTATAAGGGGGGTTTTAATTTACGAATTAAAAAAAATTTCCTTTACCCATATAAGATAATCTTAATTGAGGTGCTTAGTATACAAATCGTTCATTACTGACTTAATTCATTGATATTTTCTAACTAATAGTATTCACAATTTCACACTTTTAGATTATTTGTACAGCGCAACCATTTAGTTAGTATATATGATCGTTATTTAAGACCCAATCACCGACTGCCCCGACATGCTATGTTTTGTTGTGTAGGAGTAGGTTGGAAGAAAGCTACCGGCGGCCAGACCTACACCGATCAATCACAAGTGAACTGAACCATGTTGATAGATGTAGTAGACTGTGTGGTTAGGGTCCGCTAGATGATAGGAACCAATGGTTAGTGACCTTGAATGATATTGCTTAAAAACCGTGTGAAATGGCGTAGGTGCATCCACTCTTTGTCTTCTCTCAAACTCTAATCTAAATTCTTCATAAACGTCATCTTTCTCTTCTCCTTGAATAACATATTCAAACTGTAATCTTCTACTACCTCTACCACTAATGGCGACTACGTATCTGTCTTAATGCAGTATGGCAACTTGAACTGATGTATGTACGTACTACGTTATTGCTGATTAACTTATGATTTGAAATCATCAATCAATCATTGTTAGACCACCATTAGAAACCTAGTGATCTAACAATGATTGATTGATGATTTCAAATGTGTAAAAACACAAACCTCCAAAACTCTGCCCGAAAATATCGTAACGGTGCTCACTAGTGACTAGCTTCGTGAGGAAATTCTCGGAGTTCTAGTGATGAGAAGACGTGACCAATGGAGTTCAACCCTGTCGGGTGCAGTAGGCAGTAACTACCAAAGACAAATAGGTGAGGTCGCGCAAAATCCCTAAATCAATCAGAGTCAGACATTAACATCGTTCGATGCCGGCCCAGTGATCCGATGGTTAGGCGTCCGCGCACGATACCGAAGATCCCGGGTTCGAATCCTGCGAGGTGCAGGAGTCATGGATGCTCACTGCTGATGAGTCCCATACCAGGACGAAACGGACGTCCAGTGCTTCCAGGTTTCTAATGATGGTCTAATAGCGATTAATTGATGATTTCAAATTTGTAAAAACACAAACCTCCAAAGCTCTGCCGGAAAATAACTTATTATTGTTATAAGGCTTTCAAACAATGGATTTTGTCAAGACGTTGATACGATTCGAAGTACTAGTGTCATGTTTTTGTAGTCTTCATTTCTCTCTGCATTTCTGAATTCTCGCTGATCAGATTCCGAAAACGGTTTTTTAACACTGAAGTAAATTAATGAAAGATTCATTATTATTATTATTTCACCTTCAAGTAATTTCTTGATTCCTCGTATTCAGGAATTATGTCATCGACTTCTTGAATCGACTGCTGCTATCGCTGCATCTGCTTTGCATCAACCATCATGGTTTCGTAAAACTTTACAAGTTCGTCAATTCGATGGGGATTTATCCAATGCCAGTTTACATTCACAACCGTTAAATTCTATCGATTCAACAACAGATCGTTTATCTTTATCTGGATCAGATGTAGTTTTTGAACCGTTGAATAAATCCGATCGAATCGCTAAAAATGGATCATCGGATTTGACGGATTCACCAGTGTATGGACAATCGACTAATATGAATTCAGTGTTGAATAATGATATTGAACAAGCTTCAATGAAAGATTTCTCTTGTAGATCCATCTCTACACTCGTACCGCCATCATCTTCAGCATGTTCTTATTATACGAAATCACGACATTGTAAGTATGATGTGATGTTGAGAATTAGTTGTTCATTTCTGTAAAACAATCTTGGATAACTCTTCTGGTCATCCATCATTGAAACAAATATTCGATATACTGATATTAATGGTTGCTCTGGTTGTCAAAAGAGAGAGCATTGACCCTGTGACTTCCGTAGAAACTTGTCTTTCATCATGAGACGACATAACTCTTCTAAATAGAAGACTTTCTAACAGCTAGGACAGAGTTTAAATGGTCTAAATAGTTTTTTCCTAGTTAGCGATTTTTTTTAGTAAATTAGTTTTTCAAGGGTTGGGGTCACTAACCCCCCACACCTGGTCCTCTTCCTTTATTCGGGCTTGAGACTGGCAGTAGCCTCAGAGGGGCTCCAGATGGAGTAAGTAAGTAAGTCTTTCTGATATGTGACAAGTGATTATTTATCTAAAGGAGTTATTCTGTAGACAGATTGAAACTGATTATTTACACTTATGGAGTATTTCACATTGAAATGATGCGTGAATAATCATTGTTAGATCACCATTAGAAAACTGGAAGTGCTGAAAGACGACCGTTTCTTCCTAGTATGGGACTCACCAGTAACAGTGTGCTTCTACGACTCCTTCTACTTTCAGGACTCGAACCCAGGTCTCTCGGTCTTGCGCCGAAGACAGTGTATGAGGTTGTGCAAGACCCTGAAGTGATTGAAGTTTTAGATACCGGCTCAGTGTTCCAGAGGTTCGGCATTCGCTCGCAAGAGCGAAGGTCCCGCGTTCGAATCCTGTCGGGTGCAGGAGTTGTGGATGCACACTGCTGACGAGTCCCATATCAGGACAAAACGGCTGTCTTTCAGTGCATCCGAGTTGCTAATGGTCCTCTAACATTGATCGATTCTTGCTTTCAAAAGGCGTCTATTCTTAGTAGTTTTACTAACTTTCATCATAATAAAAATGAAATTCGTCATTTGCTGCATGTATCTTCTATCAGCTGTTCTATTCATTATTCAACTTTTAATAATGTTGTGTAATCTTCTTTTTTTTCTATTGCATCATTGATTCCCTAAAAAATGGTAGCGTCTGTGAATTTGTTAACGCATGAAATAACTCGTATTCGAATGCGTAGTGATGTGACAATACAAGCTATGGAATTACTAACTGAGGTAATTTTACTTGGTTGTGTCAATATGAATTTCATTTCTGTTAAATAAATGTCACCTACATGTAACCATCTATCTATGTGTGTTAGAGAGTAAGGGAATTATTGAATCAAAGGATATTGATTTTAATTTTCTGAATTGATGTGTGACTGTTATCTCTGTCATACTACACATGCGAAATAGATCAATCAGTTAGTTAGTTGCAATGTAGAACTTGGCATGTATGTATATCAGTTCAAGTTGTCATATCACGTTAGCATAGAGAGATGGCATTGTCAGGTCAAATCCTGTTAAGATATTCATCAAATGTCTAATTCTATTGGTCAATTTCCTACTGGTCAATATTATGGTCTTCCTAGCTATCACTGTCACATACTGCAATGTTGTTTCCCATTAGTCGTCCTAACTATCAACGTCACTCCAAATGTTGTTTCCTATTGGTTGCCTTAACTGTCAATGTCACAGACTTTGATGCTATTTCGTATGCGACTTAACTATATAAATACGCATTATCTGTAACGTTTTATGACCCAGATCCGTACCTGGATCCTTAGTCCGGGATCCTGATTCTCTTCTTGACTTTGGCCTCGTACTTTCTGGATGCTTTTAGAATACATGTTCTACTTCATATCAAGTCTTCTTCTTTTACTCACTGGGGATTGGGATAATCGGATTAGAGTAGCCTGTCGTTTCACCGGATCCTCGATCCTTACTCTCATTTACTGATAAAGGTAAACTCGAAATAGTTCAAGCATATCTCAAATTGACGTGTTTACGTGCATGTGTAACAAATCCCATAGTAGTAGATGTAGTAAAAGTGAAAAAGATTAGGGATTGCAAATGTGATTTGCGCAATTATAAATCAGTGAAATAACTTTTTTAAAATACGGTCATAAAGAATTCAGAAGATTCGAATTCCACTGGAAGACAAAGAATGGATTCATGTGTGCCATTACAAACGATTTTGAGCCATGTCATTCAAAGTTACTGGTTATTTTTAACATGACTCAGTCAAACTGCCAATGAGTTCATTGACTGGTACCGCCATGTTTTAGTTTGATCACCTCTATTTGGTCTACTACATCAACTATCATCGACGTAGGCTGTAGTTTGGCAAGCGTAACACATTCCAACTACCACCTCACTAATCGATTTTTCATCCTTACTGAGTGTCCTATTTCCAACTTAGGCATTGCTTACTCTTATTTAAATAATGTTTTCTGGTTAGCTTTGTATTAGCAAGTTAATTTTCGACCGGATGGGGTCGTCAACCCCCATGCCAAACCCTCCTCCTTTATCCGGGTTTGGGACCGGCAGTAGTAGCACCAGAAGGTCTCCAGATGGAGCTGCATTGCTTACTCAATAGTCCCAAAATACACTAGCAATGCGTCAAGGACACCTATAATCGAATACATATAACCTATAAATATCCTTTATTCATGGATTTGTGAAACTCAATATCTATCTGTTAGATTCATCCAAGAATATTCATTCATATACTCACTAATTTGTACAAATGTTTCACAACAGTAATACCATTATTCTCTCACTTCCGAATAGTTTATCAAGAGAATCATTCAATTTACTGTACAGCATACACTATAGTCTTCCGTGTACTTTTTTCATGTCACCCACTCGAAAATACATGTGTACCCACTCAGTATATAAAAGTTGTATAATATTCGACTCATTTAACGGATAGAATTCGAGTTTCAGTTATATACTGTGAAGATGTCATCTAGGTAGGTAGGCAGCTTCCATGATGAAAGGCAAAAAATGTGAGTGTTTTTCTCCGTAATCCCTTGTTCATGTTTAGTTTTTAATATTTTGTGATGTAATTTAAAATGTGCACCATTTCAAAATTCTTTCTTTTGGTTTTTTTCTTTGATTCTTTGGGGTGCGCGCGTTCTCGGAAATGCACACACACAGAATATGGCGATCTTTTTAGATTTAGTGTATAGAAGTGATGAAAAAGATCGTGTATCAACATTTTTAAATAATATTTTATACAATATATTCCCTTATCTTCGTGTTCGAATGTAAGTTTATGTTAATTCTGTATATATATGTGTGTATATATCAGGTCGTTTTATCTTTTCAATCTATGAAATACAACTCATGCACACACACACACACATCTGGTCGTTATTTAATCAATATTGTAACTCCAACCTTTGTTCAGTTTACGTTTAGCCGAGGAGTTGGTTACCTTGTGTGTTGGGGGAAGTGTGAGTATCAATGTGTGTGATGTAATCTGTAAGACGAAAGATCATGTGGGCGAACGACCGAGTAATGCACTTACATTGCATTTACACGCAATAGAAGGAAGCAATCGATCGATAGCAATCAGAAATAAATGGAAATTTTTAGTGAGTAAAGGAAGTTGTTGAATGCATTACAATATGCCAACTTACTTATATTATATTGGACATTATTTTTTCATCTATTTATTTAACAATAACAAAGCGATATCATGTAGCTCTTCGTATATAAAACTATCAGAAATCTTTTATCCATAATCATGTGGATGCGCACTGTCACTGATGAGTCTCGTACTATTGTAGGACGAAATGGCTATTCAATGCTTCCACGTTTCCGCAAAGGTTCTTCTCTAACAATAACCAAATCATGGATCCAATGAAATTATTATCTTTTTAGCTGTTATTCTGCCTTACAATCACAAACAATGATAGTTAGATAGACAGACAGACAGATACAACGCACAACTTGGTACATAAGTACATCAGTTCATGTTGCCATACCACGTTAACACAGAGACGCAACTGTCAGTTCAAATCTAAGCGTGATGGCGATAGTAGAAGTATTAGCAGTAATGCAGAAGATTAGGGAGCGAAGATATGACTCGACAAGTATAATTCAGTGAGGTAAATTAAGTAAGAGAAAGATAGAGATGATGAGGAATTTCAGAAGTTTCGAATTAGAGAGAGAGAACACAAAGAGTGGATCATGTTGTTTGTCGGTAAAACAATTCTGTCCACTTTATATTGACACATAAGAGATCGATTGAATGTACACTGAATATCAATAAACCAATTTCGTTGTTTAATTCAAAAGTCATGTAATTTACACATTCTTCAATTGTAACAAACATTAATAACTCTATTGTATGTGTATGTGTATGTGCGTATGTAATTCATGTAAGTGTGATTATTTGATTCATTTGTCAAAACTAATCATCACTTACCCCACCATTCCAACGAATTTCATTTGTGATTAGTGGGGAAATTAGACGTAGAACTTCGTGCATACGTACGTACGTATGTACATCAGTTCAGGTTGCTATACCTCAATTAGCACATAGGCGCAAATTGTCAGTCCAAATCCAATAGTGTTAGAGATAGTAGAAATATTAGCAGTAATGATGTTATAATGTAGCTATTCGAATTCTTACCGATTGACCAAGTTGAGATATTTTAATACGACCCCGAATAATGTTCCCAAATCTCTAATATATATATCAGAATACACAACACCGTTAGATGAAGTTGTTTATGGGGTCGAGTAGGGAAGGTATGAAGGAATGAATAATAAACTTTACAGATAATGCATATTTATACAGTTAGGTTGAATAGGAAACCACATTTGAAGTCTGTGACATTGACAGTTAGGATGACCTTAAATATTAACCAATAGCAATTAATCAATAGAATTAGACTTTGCGGGTTTGTTTTGAAGATTGTAAAGTCTTATTTGTAACCATGAATCGATCAATGTTTAGACCACCATTAGAAACCTGGAAGCACATGGTTACAAATAAAACTTAACAATCTTCACAACAACCCCGCAATGCAAATTACATGTGCTCACTAGTGACTAGCTTGGTGAGGAATCTTCTCCGAGTTCTAGTGGGAAGTCGTGACCAGTGAAGTTCAAACCTGTTCGGATGTATACAGGGTATGAGATTGCGCAACTCCATGAATTTGATCAAGTTAGACATTAACACCGTTAGATACCGGCTCAGTGGTCTAACGGTTAGGGCGTTCGCGCACAATGCCGAAGGTCCTTGGTTCGAGTCCCTCGGGGTGCAGGAGTCGTGGATGCGCACTGCTGAGGAGTCCCATACCAGGACGAAACGGACGTCCAGTGCTTCCAGGTTTCTAATGGTTACAAATAGAATTAGACTTTCAAAAATAATGATGAATATCCTAACAAATGGAGAAGATAATCGTTCGAAGATATGATTTCAGAAGTATAATTCAGTGAAATTTACTTTACAAAGCGAAAGATAAGGGTGAAGATGAGGTAGAATTCAAAATGGTTAACATTTTGCGAGAACGCAAAGAGAAGAGGGTGGATCAGTGAAATTCAATGATTTCAAATCCTTCATTCAATCAATACTTTTTTCCATATAAGTAGTATATGTTTATATTTCCTTCTCTTTTTTTTTTCAGATTAAGTAATTCGGATCATTTTACTGTAGCTAGTAAATTAATTGCATCTATAAGTAGTTATCAATATACACGTAAATCATGGCGTCGTGAAGTGTTTGATTTATTTTATGAATCTGTATTCTTTCAAATGACTTCAATGGCATTACAAAGTTGGAATATCATTATTGACAATTTAATGACCCAAGATAAAAGTACATTTAAAGAAGCTTTAGGTAAACACCATTATCATCATCATGTTGTTTTGTGATTTTCTACTCTGTTTTTCTACTCTATTTTTATCTTTTCAATGAACATGTGAAGTCAGTGAGCGAGTCAGTCAGTTGCAACATAAGAACTTCGTACGCATGTACATAAGTATAGGTTGTCATATCACATTAGCACACAGAGATGTAAATGTCAAATCAAATCCCATAATGATAAAGATAATAGAGGTTCTTGTGGTAATGAAGAAGACTAGGGTTTGAAGATAAGGTTAGAAAGATAAAGATACAGGTGCTGACCACCGACTGCCTCATCGAGCTATGTTTTGTGGTGTAGGAGTAGGTTGGAAGAAAGTTAGGGGCAGCCAGACCAAAACATGGCAGAAATCCATGAAGTCAATGACAAGTGGACTGAGTCATGTTGGTAGATGTAGGCTACCTGGTTAGAGACCTTGAACGACATGGCTCAAAATGGTTTGCAATGGCGCATGTGCATCTATTCGTTGTGATCTCTCAAATCCTAATCTTCTGGATTGGTCAGCACCTCTACCTTTGTCTTCCTAATCTTATTTCACTTAATTATACTTGTTGAATAATATCTTCAAAACCCCCTAGTCTTCTTCATTACCATTAATACCACTACTATCTTTATCACTATGGGATTTGATTTGACATTTGCGTCTCTGTGTGCTAATGTGGCATGGCGACATGAACTGATGTACTTATGTACAAAGTTCTACGTTGCATCTGACTGACTGACCAGAAGATTAGGATTTGAGAGAGATCAAAGAATGGATTCACTTGCGTCATTGCAAACGATTTTGATCCATGTCGTTCAAGGTCTCTAACCATTGGTGACTTTCGTCTCGTGGACCGCAACTTACATTCAGTGAACTTCTTTCACAAAGTGTATACATTTCGAAACCCCACAATCGGAGTTAGTTATTAAGAGGTGTAGGAAAGATCTGATGGTGATCGATTTGGTCTCGTGTGCTTTTACGAGTATGAGGGCGGATGTTACTTCCGTGGGTGCCCACATCCGTGGAAGCGTACTTCGTGAGGAAGCTGAAAAAAGAAAACCGGATTAGCGTTGATCTTAGCGACCTGGGAACGTGGCCGCAGAGCGTAAGGGATAACTGCTTGAGGTCGGTCACACACGACCTTTCTATTGGATGACTGTAAAGTGTTAGCTCCGCACTTCAACTGGCCTTACCACCGGAGATGGAGTTCTGTGAGGTGAGAAGGTAGCGTTGCTGCAGATTTTAGTACGAAAAAAACATCAAAAACTGCTTGCAAAACAAGTTCGTGTCGTTGTCCTTCAGTGGTCCTATCTTGGATGCTTCGGTGTCAACATGACCTTCACTAATCCAGCTTCCTTATCAAATATCCTTCTGAAATATGTGACAATCCTCCATACCCACACACCTTACATCACTTGAAATCACCTTATTCATCATAGAATTCTTACTTCACTTATTTCACATTAATGATTCTCTAGCTGAGATTGTAAATCGATGAAGGAAGGATACTGTAATCTGTCTTTTTTTTCGATTTCCTTTCAGCTCGTCTTGTATTCACTCAACCAGGTGGTTTAAATTTATTTACTAGCAAAGAAACAGAATATGATTTACGTGCTGCTTGCTTGAAAAAATTATCTTATATAGTATATGCAAGTGAACCAGACCAATACGCTAAAGCAATGCCTGATTTATTAGGTATGAGTTTGTTCATATTTGGTTAAACCTTTTGAATAAGATATTTAAGCGAGTCATTTGTACAGCAATAACCATTGGCTTTTATTATTGTTGAGTTTGTTGTATGAGCTGGCACGAGTGAACATTGCCTACCGCCTACGCTCATATTCATCCTTATTCGCTTTAATATTCAGCTCTTAAATATTTTCGATGACTTGTTCATTTTCCCATGTATATTCATTTATTCGTCAGTTCGCTCACTGGTTTGCTCGCTTGCCCTTTGGCATTCGCATATCGACTTCTACTCTGTGTGCCTGTGGTGGTTTGGTGGTCCAGTTGTGATCTGCCAAACAAAAGTATTCAAAACTTCGTATTCGTTTTCTCATTTATAAACCGTCAGGCGTTATTCAGTAACAATTGTCTGAACGAGCAGCATACGAAGTTTAAGAATACATTGGATACCGATCGCCGCGAAGCTAGTGAGACCATTGGCCACCACATGTGTATCATCATTGTCAAAATGCTACTTTTTTTCCACTGCGTATTATACTTCTTTTTGGGAATGTTTGTATTCAGTTGATCCTGTTGGGGATGTTAGATCCTCAAAACTCGCTTGATCAATGCCTGATTTTGGATTTCATGTTCGCCAGAATGGGCTGATCAGTTGACCTTGAGATTTCATTTCCCACCAGGAAAATCCATGGCTGTGATTGGCTGCTGTGTATTTTAGTGTGCTATTTTTTGTAACTGCCCCAAGGACGTTTCTATGATGTATAAATAAACGAAAGTTGTGTGCTTGATTGTATTGTGTAATTGCTAGGTGTTTGTAGCATATACTATCTACTCTCACAAAGTCTTCTGTTTTGCAGTTTGGGATTCAAGGTAGCCTCCTACCTGGACGCTGGTTCATTGTCTCGTTCGCGTTTATCGACTAAGGTGATCTCGTCGTAATAGCTTCAAGCGTACCTAGTGACGAACATAACAGATCTCCTTCATAAAGAAAGCTTAACTAATGCTGAGTTAGATCTTATCCTGTTTTATGTTTAAATATTTTCTGTCGAATTTCTTCCCTAATCCGATTTAGATCTCTTTCCACCTAAATTAATTTTCGCGAAAAAAATATAAGTGGGAATCGAACCCGGAACCTTTGGTCTCGGGCTCGAACTCTGAAACTTATGACCCATTGAACTGGCACCCAACAGTACTAATGTGTAACTTCAATCAATTCACGATATTTCGCTATCATTCCCATCCTAACATTGATCGATTTGTGATTGATTCAACAAATCTTCACAACCCTTACAATTGACCATCATCTCTATTATCATGCAACCTATGTCCTTGACCTTTTCCTGATTCCCCACACATTCATTACACACACCCGCACACACATACACACAAACTTTTCATACATAAATACATCAATATGCCTTGAAATGATGTTAACACACTATGTAGTTAAGTCTCGATACTTGCTTAATACAAAATCCGTAGTGTGTGCTTTAATCTAGACGAAATAATCAATATATTATACCATCATCTGTATTTTTATGTATTTCTCTAGAACATAAAGATTGAAATTGTTCATCAATAGTTTAGTGTAAATTACTAAACTGATAGATATCAAGAGTTATTTCTCTTACGCTGTAGATCACTGCTTAATGCCTGTTGTCTAACGAAATCTCAGCACAGATACAAGTTCAATTGGTCTCTGCTAACTTGCGTTACTGTTAGTGTAAGTGAGGCATCCATCCACCTGCCAACCAAAAGATGAGTCTACTGCGTAGCTGTTCGCTGTGTTCTACTTTACGGAAGTAAAACATGACCACTTAGAGTAGAGGATATTCGTAGGCTATTAGTATTCAACCATAGGTGTCTTTGAAGCATTGTTAGTGTATCCTGGGACCACAGAGTAAGCAATGCTGGTGTTAAGAAATAGGTACTTGGTAAGGATGACAGATCGATTGATGAAGTAGATGTTTGAACAGAGAAATGAGAAGACATATTTTGTGAGATAGTACCATTTCGTGTTTTCTCGTCAGTCATCAGAACACAACTACGACGAAGCTGATAGCAACTGATGTGCCCAAGAAACCAGTGTACCTACAGTTACCTTTCAAAAGTGATCATTGCATGAAAATTACAACCAAACAGACTGCAGCTGCAATAAAAAAAGACCTACAATGCAGCTAATCTGAGGCTTATCACAACAACCCAATCGATCTCAGTTACCCCAATCAAGTCTCCAAGACCGATTCAGTCCAAATCCCACTGTATTTACCAATTCACATGTAACTGCGGAGAAAGTTATTTATGGAGGACAGATCGCCGATTGAAAGACAGGATAGGGGAACATATTCCAAGATGGTTAATCAAATCCATGATTCATAAACCTAGCCCATCATCTCAAAATCGATCAAGAAACCCAGCCTCGTCCATTGCAAAACATCTAATGATGAGTGGTCATCAAATTGACCCAAAATCAGCCTTTAGAGTTGTGACATGTCATCAAAACCCACACACACTGAAACTACTCGAAGCTATCTTGATTGGTCGGAAAAGTCCAACTTTATGTGTTCAAAAACAACTGTATGTTGACCTTTGTTTACCATGGTTCTAGTGAGTGAATGTCATGCTAAATAAGAAATTTTGACCTTATCTTCAAAACTGTATTTACACAATTAACATGTTGCTTGTATGTGACTGACGAGAAAGCACGAAATGGTATTATATCACAAAATATGTCTTCTTATTTCTCTATTCAAATTTATCAAAGGGAACCACTGTTTTGAATTTCTAAAAAGAACTAGATTTGAACTACGTGGTTGAGGTCGGTGTGACAATCATTAGGGACCTTGAATGATATGGCTCAAAATCGTTTGCACTATGTGATTTACTTTGACAATTCCATCTGCCTGTACTAATGTGGTATGGCAACTTGAACTGATGTACTAAGTTTTACATTGTAGCTGACTAACTGGCTGATTTGTATATTTGATCTGAAAATCCTAATTTCAGGTAAAATATAGCTGTTTTACTTTCCGCTATATCAACTAAATAACGTCTATTTCAATCTACTTTTTTTCTTCCGTTTTCTGCAGAACGTCTTACTGAATGTTTACGTTTAGGTCAGGGCATAATTCCAGTAGTTCATACTCAAGTATTTCTATTTGCTCGTGTTTTAATTTCTCGTATGTCAGCTATACAATTAACTTCTTTATGGCCTATAGTTGTACCAGAATTGGTTAGTTTTGTTTTTTCATAAATTTATTTTTATTACTTAATTGTCTACTGAAATGAATGAATGAGTTGATACTTTTCTTGTCTCAGATCATCTAACCATATTTCAGCTTATATATGATGTGTACTGTTGTTAATTGTAAATATCGTAGCTGCTACATTGACACGTGGTGGTCGAGCTTGCCTATCGTGATGACGCAAATCCTACCATGCCAGTCAGGTCGATTGGAGAGTGGTAAGATTGAAAACAGTAACTGTGGGTTTCAGGAAGGAGTCATACTGTGGTGCGCGCTAGTTATAAGTAGTATATGGCGCGAGTGAAAACGTAATGTCTGGCAGCAGAAGATGAGGGAAGATCAAGAAAGGAAGAGTGGGAACACAATGGAATTTGTATGAAACGCATGAATAGTGAAATGTCAGACAATGGATTGATGTTTTGCAAATTAACGATTTACGATATGGTTTTCCTATTTTACTGAGTAACTCTGTAATTTTCGCTAAATACAATTCGGTTGCCCTCACCTGTGTTCTCCTTCACTACGGTACTTCTGACTGTGGAGGGGTGTGATAGCATGGATATCGAAGGCTCAACTAGCTTCTGGCAACTTGCGTCATTTACTGCGTAGGCTAGATGTCCGTCAGCTAACTTAAAGATGAGTCTACTGCGTAGAAGTTCTCTATTAGGATATTCATCAAATATCCTACGAAGAATCATTTTGTAAGTGTAAATTCTATTGGTCAATATTATGGTCGTCCTACCTATCAGTGTCACGTACTTCAATGTTGTTTCTTATTGGTTGTCTTAACTGTCAATGTCACAGTCTTCGATGCTGTTTCCTATTCGACCCACCTGTATAAATACGTATTATGTGTAACGTTTTATGACCAGGACCCGGTCCCGGGTCCCTAGTCCGGGATCCTGATTCTCTTCTGGACTCGGACCTCGTACTTTCTGGACGCTTGTGGAATACACGTTCTACTTCATATCAAGTCTTCTTCTTTTACTCATAGGGGGTTGTGACACTTGGAGTTGGACACTTAGAGTAGCATGTCATGTCGCCGGATCCTCGATCCTCGCTCTCGTTTTCCGACTAAGGTAAACTCGTAATAGTTCAAGTATATCAAGTTGACGTGTCTACGTGTAGGCATAACAAGCTGATTGACTGTAAATATCAGTAATTTCGAAAAATACCAAATAAAGTACTAATTGCTTTGTTTAAGTGTTCATTTAAAGTATTGTAATTTTTGAGAAAATAAAAAACGTACACATTTTCCAATTCTCAATACAAATCGTGAATATTGAATATTTTTTTCAATTCTATTTTCAATTGTTTTACTAT